GTCGTTGTACAACTTTTCAGCCACCGTCTTTGCCGCTTTGTTTCGGGTCGGGTAGGCTTGTGCATACCTGGTGAAGTGATCAACAATCACAAGGATATACTCGTACCCTCCACTGGACTTTTCAAGGTGGACGAAATCGATAGAAACCATCTCGAAGGGGGCGGTAGTGATAACAGGTTGTAATGGTGCTCTCGTCTTCAATCTTGGTGGTCTTTGCTTAACACAGCGACAGATATTCCGTACGTAGTGCTCCACATCACTCTGCATCCTAGGCCAGTAGAACCGATCTCGAGCCAAGCGTAGGACCCGCTCAGATCCAAGATGAGCCATGTTGTCGTGAAGTTCACGTAGAACTGTTCGATGGTATGGTCTAGGAAGCACAATCTGATCGTGTGAGTTGCTCTGTCTTCGTAGAACGCCGTCTTTATCAATAAACAGCTTTGGCCATTCGTGAAGTAGGAGTTTAGTATCGGGTGATTCTGCCGCTCTCTGGGAGGAAGTTGGTCGCTGTTTTCTGTCGACAAACGAATAAACTTTTCCAATAACATTATCTTTAAGCTGAGCTTGTCGAATGTCACTAAGGTTGAACTGTGGAGTACTGCTAGCGATTGGTTGTGGATCACCTCCATGCAATACAGTGGGATCATGGGTGAGAGATGAGACCCAAGTCACTTTACCTTTGTCTTCCAACTGTATCGACTGGACGATGGCTCGTAGTTCGTCTTGGCAGGTTTCCGCAGTGCACGAATCCATGTATTCACTCATGTTTTCAGGTAATCTAGAGAGACTATCTGCGTCGGTATTCATCTTTCCAGGGCGATAACGTATTGTAAAGTTGAAATCAGCTAATTCTCCAATCCAGCGAAAGCCAGTTGCATTCAGTTTGGCAGTTGATAGGACGTACGTTAACGGATTATTATCGGTGTATACGACAAAACTTGGAGAATAATACAGGTAGTCTCTAAATTGTTCACAGATAGCCCACTTCAACGTAAGGAACTCTAGTTTACCAGAATGTAGGTGGTAGTTTTTCTCTGCTGGTGTTAGGGTTCGTGAACCGTAAGCAATAACACGTAAGACATCATCCTGCTCTTGGTAAAGTACTGCTCCTAGTCCATTCTCTGATGCATCCGTGTGAAGGACATATGGGCTGTGAGGGTCTGGATATGCCATGACTGGAGCTCTCACAAGACAGTCGATAAGTTCTTCCAACACCGATTGATGAGTCGACGTCCACGATACTGGATGGTTAGCCACTGGTTTACCACGCTTGTTCTTCGAGTCATTTTCCGACACCTTCACGAGATCGTAAATCGGCTTGGCAATCCTTGAGAAATTGGCAATATACCGCCGATAATAGTTCAAGAATCCCATTAACTTCCGAACTTCGTTCACTGTCTTAGGTGGTGTAGCTTTGAGGCGTAAAATTGGGGCAATAGTTGAGGGGTCAAGTTTGTACCCTTCGCCAGAGACTACTCGCCCCAGGAAAACAACTTCTCTCTTAAACATATTGCACTTTTTGGGTTTTAATTTAACACCATGTTCCTTAAGACGTTGAAAGACTTTTCGTAAGTGTTCAATATGGTCGTTAAAATTAGAACTGAAAACTATGATATCATCAAGATATGGAATGCAGATTTCATCACGGAGGTCACCTAAACACGACTCCATAAAACGCTGAAAAGACGCTGGGGCGTTGGAAAGGCCAAATGGGATGCGGACCCACTCGTACAATCCCCAAGGTGTGATGAATGCTGTGAGGGGTTGACTTTCGGGTTTCAGAAATCCTTGGTGGTAAGCTTTCCCTTGGTCAAGTACGGAGAACCAAGAATTCCCTCCAAGATTGTCAAGAGTTTCCTGAATTCTCGGGATGGGGTGACGATCTATCTGCGTTTTCCTGTTCAGTTCGCGATAATCAACACACAGTCTTAAAGTTTGGTCTTTTTTCCTCACACAAACTACGGGTGAGCTGTATGGTGAATTGGACTTACGAATAAAATTTCGATTTAGGAGGTCTTCAATGTATGCCTTCACCTCCGGGTAGAGCGGGCGAGGCACGGCAACGTAGTTCTTTTGGACAGGTTTAGTGTCATTGAGCCGAATGTTCATTTGCAGATTAGGGATATGACCAACGTCATCATCGTCCTTAGCAAACGCATCAGCTTGTTCAACCAGCAGTTTTGACGCCAGGTTTCTCTGTTCCTCCGTCAAGCCGCCTAGATCTAAATCTTTCAGGTGTTCTGGTAAATTCACTGGTGAATTATCTTGTATTGTGCTGCTCTTGCAAGCACTTGAGTCATTGTTTTTATCGGATAGTACAGTGTCAGAGGGATTGTCCTTTAATTTGACATCTATTGGGACCACTGACTGAACAAGTTGGAGGCGACCAAGAACTGTTCGACCCCTAAGCTGAATATTATGCCTTGTCGTATTGGTGCACTGAGGGCGGAAGCACGAGCGACTTGCATACCAACAAAGTTAGATGAAATAACACCACAATTCAATTTATTTGTCTTTATTAAATGTTCAATCACGTTAAAGCCTACCAAAGGCAGTTCTAAGTTCTCATTCGTTACTAGGAATGGGACAGGAATTGCGTGTTCAGATTCCCCAACTTGAAAATTTAACTCCACCCATCCTGTATAAGGGATAGTGTTACCATTGGCTGCCGTCAGTGTAAGGTCACAATTTAAACACTACCAGTGTGTTTTCTGAAGCAGATATTTGGATGCAGCGTTACGTTAATCTGTAGACAGACTAAATCTTTAGTTAAGCTAAGTATTTTAATGGTAATTCAAATTATATGTTCACATTATGTAAATACCACAACTCATTCAGCCTAGCCTTCTAACAACTCAAATCTGTAAAGTCTGGGATGTGCTGCACACTAAATTTAAGATATTTTTAAATACAGTATCTTTTAAAATTGGTTGGTCTATCTCAAGTTGTAAATATCTTAAAAAGATATTTTACAATTACAACAACTGTTTTTTTAAAACGACATCGAAAGATATGAAGACAAAAGATATAACATAATATTCACAAAGCAAGGGTTAATTACACGAATATCTAACATCCTAAATTTCATGTTTCTTCAAATATTTTGCTTATATTTTAGAGAAAAGGGATCTTACATGGGGCCCCGAAAATGGTTGCATGACAGGAGGCACCATGGGGGACTGGGGGGTTGCCCCCCCCCCTCAAGTATATAGCCCTGGGAAGACTGCTTCCGATGCCTTGTGGAAACAGCAATTTTGTTCATGAAAATAGTTTTTTAAATTTTTTTCTTCAATTCCAACACAAAATTGAGTTTAAGATATTATTATTATAAATGGATGATTCCAGCTGCTTATAGACTAAATTCTGATTCAGACAAGAACGACGAAATCTATCATTATAGCTTAAAAGAACATCCTTAAATTAGTAAAATTGCCAAACTTGGTTGCAAAATGTTGTAAAATACGAAAAATATAGCCCTGTGAAACTAGCAAATTTTGAGTATTTTAGTATTCCGCGCGAAAAAATGCCAAGGGTGGGTAGTAGCGAAGTAGTTGTAGTTCGCTACTGTAGCGAACTACAATTTTCAAGTAGCCAGTAGTTTTTGACTACTTTTTCAAAACAGTAGCTGTAGTTATAGCAAACTACATTTTGCCTAAAAGTAGCCAAGTAGTTAACTACTTTTCAAACCGAGAAAATCGCTTTTCGCTACTTTTTAAAATTGTTAGCAACTTGATAGAACAGAATATTATTGAGGCACAGTTTGCTTAAAATCAATACTCAATTTGCACGAATAATTAGTATGCCGTGCAACTGTTCAAACGGTGCAAGTGCATGCCGTCTTATTTACTCGCGTTGAAGTCGATTTGTTATAGGTTACATTACAGCCTGAGCTATAGCAGATGTTCCAAATACAGTGAAATTAAAAAATATTGAGTAGCGAAATAGTTCGCTACATTTTTTAAGCAGTAGCTGTAGTCAGTAGCGAACTACTTTTGTTCAAAAGTAGCAGCAGTTGTAGCTGACTACATATTTTTGAAGTAGCTGTAGTTATAGCGAACTACAAAAAGTGTGTAGTCAACCCACCCTTGAAAAATGCACCACTAAAATACTCAAAATTTGCTAATTTCACACGGCTATATTTTTCGTATTTTACAGCATTTCGCAACCAAACTTTGCAATTTTACTAATTTTAGAAAGTTCTTTTAATAAGTTTTACCGATGGATTTCGTCAATTTTGTCTAGATGAAAAATTAGTCGATAGGTGGAATCATTCATTAAAATCATACGGATTCTCAACATTTCATTTAATTAATTAACACTAGGGTCTCTTACGAAGTTATTTTTGGTCGTATCTTGCAAGATGATTTCATTTGTCTACTTTAACTGCGTGGTTCTCCTCCTTTATCTGCCCTGGGTGGGCTTAGCTCAGGAAAATTCAACGTCCTCACCGGAAGACAAAAGTGCTAGAAACCTAAATATGACCGCAACCTTAAATCAAACCAACGCATCAACCATCTGCAAGCTTCGAATAGATGAGTCAACAGTCGAGAATATTCTTAGAATTATGCATAATTATACTACACATGTTATAGAAATAAAAGTATCCATCAATTCGGGGAATAAAACGCGACGTTTCCCAGAACTCGTATGGCCTTGGGCAAGCGAAATTGGTCGGACAATAATCTCATTGAAAGCGCAGAGCACATCATCTTTGCACATTATTACACTTACCCCTGGAATAAAAAAAGTGAATGTGGTTGTTTTCGAGGAAAACTATGGATGTTTGCCAAAAGGAAGCAATGGTTCGGTACGTGTCTTTGACTTTCTGTTACATCGGGTTTCTCGTTCTGATGACACTCACAATTATGAGTTATGTCGCGCATTTGGTAATGACTTAAAACAGTATAATTGTTGCAGAGTAACCAGTGGTGGGAAACTAACGATTTGTGCTGAATATTCATCAATTGTACTGAAATATGCTAGATCCTACATTAAGGTAATGGTATGGATCACTACATATGTTGCTCTCCCTTTAATGCGGCAATACTTACACTCAATTCCGTATGAAACAGAATATTATGGGATTGCCGATAGTCCAATGGCACTTTCAACAATATTTTATACCGTATTCATTGAAGGATCAAAAACGGCAGTAAAACCGTGCTATAGAAGATTAGCGTTTTCGCTCACAGTCGCAATGATGCTTTGTATTACATATTCTGGACTGTTTTGGTGGATAACATTACTGGTGTGGACCATAATTTTTACGTCTTGGGATTTTTTTGGGATAAATGAAAATGTTACTAATGGAAATGTCACTAATGAAGATGTTACTTATGAAGATGTCACTAATGAAGATGTTACTAATGAAGATGTCACTAATCAGGATGTTACTAACGAAAATGTCAGTAATGAAAATGTTACTAATGAAAATGTTACTAATGAAGATGTTACAAATAATAGTAAAAAGGTAATCACAATGAATATGGTGAATTATGAAACATATTTCTGCTTACTTACATTACCTTTCAATATCAAATTTTGGTGGAATACTTTTAAATCGAAGTTCCCACTAACCAACCAGAAACCATCTCAACGGTCAACAAACCCGCAACAACTTGACACAAACCCCCAACAATCGCCTGAACAAAATCTTGAATTACTAACAAGTTGTGGAAAACAATTTGTAACAGGTTTATGCTTTGGGCTCGCATATTTGGTTCTTTTCTTAATTTGGCCTGTCTATATTTTGTTTTTTCCACTGCTGGCTTCAGTGATAGGCATAATACAAGCCGCTAATATGGCAAAACAAGACGAAGATGCATCATGTACATGCAAGACCTGCTTAATATCAGTTGCGGCGGGAATAATATATCACGTTATGTTGTTAACTTCTGCCATATTCACGATGTTGGCCGTTGACATCCTCTTGAGTTTAGCTCTGTATTTGATTACTGGCATATATCTTAATGGATCATTTTACGGTCCTATCGTTGTGCCCATATTACTCCTTCTTGTTTATTTTTGGAAAAACTGGAGGTCGTTTGTAGAAACGAAGTACCTGCTCCTTAACACAAAAATAATCAAAGTTTGCGAAGATGAATATGAAAAAAGAAAGGAGGAGGTAGGAAATCAAAGTAATACTTCAATGCCAACGACGTCCTCATCGACGAATGAAATAAATCGTCAAGAACGCGGAGAAATTACTGAAGAAATTACTGAACATTTTACTGAAGACACTGCAGACCAGCGGTATACTGTGAATGTTGCTAAGAAGACAGTTTCGAAAGTTCTCTATGATAAAGTAAGGGAAAGGATTTTTCCCTATGACAAAGTCTTATTTTCTTTCTTTGTACGAATTTTTTTCGTTGCCAATTTTTGTCTTATTGTATTTGTTATGTTGTTATTAGCCCAAGAATCTAACATTCCAACCGCGGCTCAAATAATGAGCACAATTATAGTGAGTACATTCCCGTTGATTTTCGACGCAATTTGGGCGGATTATACTTTTGAACAAAAAGATGTGAATGGCAAAAAGCTGGAACAAAATATCGGCGAAATTATAGAAATATGTGAAACGAACACTCATATTATAACCGTTGAGGTGGTAGGTGAAGCAACAAACGTGGATGACATAATCGAAAAGTTATACGATGTATTCAAGGATGAACAAACTGAATAAATTTATGGCGCAGCATCATTGTATAAAAAGTGGTTGTAGTTAGCTAATATCAACTGCAATTATGGTGCGAAAGTTACCCAGACAGAATCGCGTACATTTAAATAACAAATGTATAAGCGAGTTTTTTATATGACTAGCCCCAGAGAAATGATGCTAAACAAACGGTATCAAAGTAATATCTTGCATGATTTGCACGGTATAATGCACGAAGTGGACCAAGTGGTCAGAGGAAAAGTCAGCGTATTTGTCGTATTCAGTTGTATTCGACTTGGTTTGTAATTGTGTGTCATGCTCGTGTATTACGAGCTCGAATTATACGTTGGCAATAGAACGCATGGGCGTATGAGACAAGGAGCAGGGGGAGACGGCAGTATTTGCTCGAAACTCCAAGGTTTAATCGAGTAAATACGACAATCAGTGGCGACTGGCGAAGCAGAGTTGGTCGATAGAAATTAATAAACGGTGAAATTTGACAATAAAATAATTTGTAAACGGTCACCATAATTATACACTGATCAATTTTGCGTTTTCAGCAAAAATGGGATTTTTTTCTAATTTTGCATATATTATATGTCACTGAGTGAAGACTAGTCCTGTATGGTGCACATGCGTAATTGAAACTAATGGCAGCCATATTGGTTTGACCACCACATGTCTTGCTGGCATGCTAAAAGAGAGAATCTTATATCGTTTTTTGTTATTGGTGGGAAATAAGACACATGGTTAACAGTGGCCTACCTTTCTTTCTAATGGACCTTTAACCTTAGAACTAAAATTTTGATCTAGACAAAAATGTCATCACAGCTTGAAAGAGCATCACAAAATTAGTAATATTCCAAAGTTTCGTTGCGAAATGTTGTAAAATGCGGGTAATATAGCCTTGCGAAGTTTGCAATTTTCAGTCATTTTAGATTACAAACGGGAAATTGATACCCAAATCGGGTGTTTGGGTATCAATTTCCCGTTTGTAATCTAAAATGACTGAAAATTGCAAACTTTGCAAGGCTATATTATCCGCATTTTACAACATTTCGCAACGACACTTTGGAATATTACTAATTTTGTGATGCTCTTTCAAGCTGTGATGAAATTTTTGTCTAGATCAAAATTTTAGTTATAAGGTTAAAGGTCCATTGACCAGTGAATAACGTCAACTAATTTGCTCACATTAAAGCCCTGTTGACACGAGCAAATTTTATTTGACAAATTTTATATGTCAAAGATATTTTGCTCGTGTAGATGATAAATTTGTGACAAAATCATGGTGACCTGAAATGCATTTGAACAAAAGCTAGCATGCTAGCTTTGCTCGTGTGTGGGTTAGTGTTTCATTGTCTAGTGTTTAATTAAAGCGTTCTAAAACTCTTTAATTTAACTTGCACAGGAAAACATAGTTGCCTAATAGTGTAAAACCATAATTTAAACAGCTAACGAACCCCACTGGTAAAGAATTTGACAGATTTGAAAATTTGATCTTCAAAATTATTCTGGCTTCAAAAGGATGTTCTATCCAGTTAGTCGTCAGATCAGTGGCAGAACATCACGTGTTATTGGACTATGATATATAACCTTGTAATTTATATAACTATAATTAATTGTAATTGGTAAGCGAACTTTGCATTATTAAATGTGTAATCATACCGATTGTGTGCATGTAGAAAGTAATGTTTGATTAAACTAACATATAGATACGTACTCTCACTTCATCCCGTGCTTCATCGGGGCTTTTCAGTGACCGACTACATCAAGTATTATGATTACTTACATTACTTACTTAGCCCAGACTATTTTATCTTTACAACTTACAATTGTGATATTACTTTCTTAACTGTGTTTATCCTAACCCACCCTGTCAACTTTCCCTGTGGGAGGAAACCGGAGCGCCCGGAGAAAACCGACGAGTCTCGGCAGAGCGTTGACAGACTCTTCACATGAGTACATGGGCGGAGCTACAATCTTGGACATAACTGGTTGAGACTATTTCCCCCCTATAGAAAATTCGCGTATTTTTATGATAAACTCCATGTTGAATCATGTTGCCATTCTTATTAAACCCCCGCTCCCCCAACTCAATGACAATGTTGAGCTTGTATCATGGTATATTACCAAAAGTTGTTTCGGCGTTGTTCACAACACTATTCAACTGGGGGGAGGGGGAGGGGGAGGGGGAGAGAAAGTTTGTTTTGTCAATGTTCAATAACTTTGTAATATTGGCTGGAATGGTCTCAAGGGTTTTGTCCAAGATTGTAGTTCTATTATTAGCGACATTAGTGACCTTAAAGCAAGTCACGTTTTTGTCAACACAGGCGTCACCCGATAATCATTAATTAACACACGACAAAATACATTAAATCGAGGCGGGCAGGCCTATCAAATTGCCTGGTTTTGAAGTAGAATCTGTTCAATTGAACACTGACTGGGGTGGCTGTAGCTTTCCAAGCCCCCCTTCTCCTCGTCTCGTATTTCCAATTTAGCGATTACATATTCACGGTCCGGCATTAACGTTTACAAGATAGAATTGCGCTCTATCATGCAAATCCAATTATAAATTTTGAAATGAATTTATTTCATAACAATTGAAATCATAGCAGTTCATTTTTTATCTGATAAATGGGGAATCCAGATTACAGAGAATCAAGATTCCCGGATTCCTCGGTTACTGTTTAGTCCGCTGCACACAAAGCTCATGCAGGAAGTCGATCAGAAGTTGAGTATTGAATGTCAGGGAAGCATCGAGTGACTTGCCGAATCGATTTTTAAAGGTACGAAGATTTGATTTTTATAGCCATATTCTTATACCAGTTTTCAATGTGTGTTTATCATAAAATATATATGTTAATTTACTGTTGGTGTGTCTTGCCTGTACTATTGGACAATATATAATTAATAGTCAAGTTTTGAAATCAGTACTCCTGGTTCCATGCAGAATCCAGAGGTTTATTGCTGCCGCAGCGAGCGAGCCTGAAGCGAGCGCTAGCGAGCAAGGCAGCAGATCCTAATTTTGTTTTGTGGGTCGAAATCAAAATTTTCCATTTGGCGCATTGCATGATGGTACCAGTGAATTTTAACCGTGGTGCAGCGCGGTCAGGCATAAGGCAAACAGACAATGTGATCATCTTTCATCTTTGGTCTTCTTTTATGGAAAGCCATAGCTGGCTTAAAGTGATCAAACGGCATTTTGTTGGGTGCTTTTAGCATTATACGGTGCATGGTGCTTTCGGCATTATATATACACGGTGCTTTCGCCACTATACGCGGTGGTTCCCGCATTATACGCGGTGGTTCCAGCATTATACGCGGTGCTTTCACCATTTATATACGCGTTGCTTTTGCAATTAATATACGCAGTGGTTCGAGCACTATATGCGGTGCTTTTAACATTATACGCGATGCTAGCTTTCATTCAACATTATTTCCATATTCTTTCCATGACATGTCTATGATTTAACGATTGCTTAAATTTGGTATGTGGTTGACAAATGCTTTTTGCCTATGGTCTGCAAGGACAATGACATGCTTGATGCTTTTCTGTGTATATAAATTAATATAACGCAGCGAATGCGCCAAGCAGTATCAACGCGGCTGAATGATCTTGAAATGAAAAATCTTGAATGTGCCGTATGATTTAATTATGTTTTAGGATTTACAAATGCTTTGTCATTTGTATTTATACTTGTAATGCATCACAAGGCAGTACGTAAGTGAACAAATTCCACATGTGAGATTGTCTTGTATATATTTTTGCTTTCTTTGATAAACATTATTAAACACGCAAACTTTAATTAGTGAGACGCAATGTTAAATGTCACTTGCATGTCATTGTCATTGACCTTTAACCCCTGGTCTAATTGGCCGCTTTTGAAAATGTTGATCATGACGAACCGCACTGCCTTAATTATGCAAACTTTGTGTTTTAAAAACGGGTAGGATAAAACGCGGATACGGATGGACGGATGAATGACGGACGGACCGGACGGATGACATATATAATATGTCATTATATAATCTGCGCGCAGCCGCGCAGGGTAGTTAGTGGCTTACTTCTTCGCTGGTTGTTATACTTTAAAATAATTTTGTATATACCGAGAAATCAATATTCCGAGTATACAAATATATAAACTGGGATGTTACACTGATAGCTTGTTTACATTTCCTGGAGCATCAAATCTTATGTTTAACCACGGTGGTTTAACCCATTAGCTGGCAATGCGCCCTTCCCTTGTCCAGCGCGAGAAGATTTTACTCGTCAGTGGTATAGGGTAATGCCAGTCAATGGATTAACAAACCTATCTGCCAATGTCTCTTGTTAATCCATCAGCACAGTAATGACCCCTACTTTAGTATTTACCCTGTCCAACGCCAGACGATTTTTAATACTCAGTCAGTGGTAGGGTACTGTCAATAAATGGGTTAACCTGCAAGGATAACAATAATAGGATGTTTCTGAAGGACTCGTTCAACACCCTGTAGTTTGTCTTTTGCTGTCGAAGGCAGCATTACTGCCCTGTGGGTAACCTAGTTATAAACATCTGAACCAGGATATGAAATCAGTGGCATCAGATTAACTTAACCTCGGAATTTAACCGGCATATTAAAAGTATATAACAAGCTTTCATTGATAGGGATGTAACTACCTAATAAATGTAAGGAGAATTTCGACGTTCATTTTAATTAAACAATAATGTTAATGATTTATTATAATGTATTAATACACGACAAAATACATTAAGTCGAGGCGGGCAGGCCTATCAAATTGCCTGGTTTTAAAGTAGAATCTGCCCAACTGAACACTGACTGGAGAGGCTGTAGCTTTCCAAGCCGCCCACCCCCCTCCTCGTCTCGTATTTCCGCATTACGCGATCAGTACACATTTAATACTACCATAGGTATATAAGATACTATGAGTACTACATATCCCTTCACGGTCGTTTATAAGATATAATTGCGCTATATCATGCAAGTCCAATTACCATTATAAATTTTGAAATTAATTTATTTCATGACAATTGAAATCATAACAGATCATTTTTATCTCATAAACGGGGAATCCAGATTACGGAGAATCCAGATTACGGAGAATCAAGATTCTAGGATTTCTCGATTCCCGGATTCCTCGAGGTTGCCTCGGTGACTGTTTAGTCAGCTGCACACAAAGTCGATCAGAAGTGCTATTGAGTATTGAATGTCAGGGAAGCATCAAGTGATTGTCGAATGTTTTTAAAGGTACGGAGATTTGATTTTTATATATAGATTCATATTCTTATACCAGTTTTCAATGTGTGTTTATTATAAAATACATATGTTATTTTACTGTCGATGTGTCTTGCCAGTACTGTTGGACCATATATATTAGGACTATTAGTAGTTTTGAAATCAGCGGCATATTGCTGCGTCAGTTCTGGCTTCAGATTAATTTAACCTCGGAATTTAACCGGCAATAACAGTGTATTTCAGAACCATCCTTAGAGACACAAAAAAACAGTTTCATTTTATTCTGACACTGCAATCGACCAACGAAAAATTCGTTGGCTCGAGCGGGATTTGAACTCGCATCTTCGGGTATCTAGATCAATGGGTAGAGCGGCGGTCTTGATACCCGAAGATGCGAGTTCAAATCCCCCTCGTTCTAGATTATAACCTCATTATGTTTATAGCAATCTCACGGTCACGGTGTAGTTTTCCATTGCTGCAAGATTTTAGTTGAAATATTTATATACAGTACACTGAATCTTGAAATTGGCCATACGATGTAATATGAATAGGGCGCTTATATATTACGAAAGTTACCGAACTGTAGCATCGCATCAACATTACAACATCTATATAGGCCTACCTATTCTACTTATCAATATTTAGTTAGATACATGACAGAAACCATAGGCTTCACATATTTCACGGCATGGTTTGCTTTCAAGACCCTGTGAGTACATAATCTAACTGCATCTATACTTAAATACTAAGGAATAAATTTACAAGCCTTACGTAGCCTTAACTACATGTGATGGACAGATTACGAAATACACAGACACAGACACACAGTTAACAACAAGGACTAACAGTATACATGTTAACTTCAATTACGATATTTGTACAATGGATTGACATAAACTAAGACACAAAACAGAGCACGCATAATACGCGTGCACCTTTTATACAATATTTCACGGTATGGTCTACTTTCAAGACCCCGTTGAAAATATAAGAAACCATTAGATAAATCATGATTATGAGTAAGCCACAGGTCCAAGACGCATGTACTGGGTCCTATTACTTATCTTAAGCCCACCGCACACGAGAGCAACTTGCTGAGCTAACTGCCTCGCGAGGCAGTTAGCTCAGCTATGTATTTTCTCCGCACACGTTGGGAAAACTATACTCAACAACAACATAAATGACAAAATCATTTGCATTTTCCTCCATTTTGTTTCAAGTCACATGAAGAAACCATGGTTTGTCATTGGCTAATTGATTCAAACAGCTCAGCACTTAGCTCACAACATCCGCAGACGCTGAGATTTTTTCCTCGCGAGGCGAAAAATATCAAACACGATAGATATTTTCCTCAAGGCCTCGAGAGGTCAAATCCTCACGAAAACTATCCGCACACGAGAGCAACTTGCTGAGCTAACCGCCTCGCACACGAGAGCATGTTGCTCTCATGTGCGGCGGGCTTAAAATTAAAATACTACGACCGCACCTACATATTTTTGCATGTCTACAATTCTAATTTTAAACAGCCAATCGACGTTTAATAATTGTACATGTAATTGTTGCCAAGAACCGGATTATGGCAGAGGAGGAGTATACCGACATGCAACGCGGTCAGGGGTGGTTTATTAAATATTATCGATTTCTCGCTCTGCGCCGTCATTGTTCGGTCGGCTTTCGCTGCGTTTACAATAATACCGGCTCGCGGTTTTGAGAGATTCAGAAAAGATTTTATAGAAAAAAATATATTGTCGAATGTGAATTTTTGCACTATTTATTTGTGAAAAGAAAGCTTCGTTTTTGGGTGGACACGAGCTTCGATCTGTTTATACAAAAAGAAACAAATTCGGAAAAATAAGGTCATCTTGAAATTCAAGATATGAATTAAAACAAGACGAGTGTGTGAGACTGTAAATTTTCGACTTTATTTCAAAGTCATCATCAGACAGAATGAAATACAATACGTTGCATACAGCATGCATATATGCAGAGCAAGAGCGGAAGAATACACGACACCGAAAAAAGAGGATTAACAAGGCAAAGACTTAGACTTGCTAACACTTAGACTAAGCTTAGTTATTTTACACAATAAAATTTAACAAATATAAAACATTTTTCGTGTTGGTATACAGTTATATCAACACGAGTGGAAATTGGGAAAACAAGAAATTGTCCAAAAGAAAGAAATTTTCCGACGTTTCCGTGTTGACATTGAGTTATATCAACACGGCTCTAAGGGTGGAAAAAGTATCGGACCACGGGACCATTGGTCCCAGAAAAATTTTTGAGTTCCCAGAAAATATTTCCTCAAGAAAGAAAAAAAAGATAATTGTAAAAATTTAATAGAGAAAAGGAGAAATTCAGAGGAAATATTCTAACCAATAGAAAGAATGTTACCTGTACTGTATAGATATGACCTCAGAAATAGAACAGCAAATTTTCAAAATTTTTTGGGGAGCATCGATCCTCCTAGTAGTGCCCCCTAGTACTGCCTTATATTTAGCATTTTTATTCACCGCAGGATCCGACCCTTCATCAGTGGCGTAGCTAGCGGTCCTGCTCAGCAGGACTAAAACTTTCCACAAAATAGAGAAATGATTGTCCAAGTTTCAAACCGTCCAATTTTTCAAAGTGTCCAATCTTGAACTTTAAAAATTCATTGTACTTTTTCTGGTCTTATTCATTATTTTCATTTTCTGCTTTCTATTACATTTACACAATTTTATGGCCTTGTTACCTAGCAACTGCAACTCTGCAACAGCTCATTTCCGGGTATAATATATTGACTTACACGCTACTCGTGTGTCACTTCTGCTATACCAAGATTTTGCTGGCATCTCAGTGATCTCACTCAATTGAATAATAGTTCAGTGAAGGGTCTTGTAGATGGGAATTATCAAGTAGAAATTTATATGCATTTATTAAACCTAACCTGCACCGCTCTAATGAACTCGGATTCTAACCGATAACGGTGCAGTGCTGTAACTTCTGTTTACACTATAAAGCTACGCCTAGCATTTTTCTCACAATAAATTTGTCACAAATTTATCATCTACGCGAGCAAAATATCTTTGACATATGAAATTTGTCAAATAAAATGTGCTCGTGTAAACGGGGCTTAGCCTTAAACCAGGGGTTAATATAGTTGTACATACGGTATATATATAGCAGAATGGTTAGAAATCAAGCACGGTAATTTTATAGAATACGTGTACACGCGTTTTAATATTTATGTCGCTAAATCTGATCTGATAAAGGGAATGGAATGTTGTGCTCCAGTGAGCAGTCGCTTGTGGGGAGAAACCTCGACACAAAGAGCGGCTGCGAAGGAGACTAAGTCCTGTTTTACACGTCGAATTTCGGTCGCGTCGAATGCCAATTCAAACAATAGATAATGAAGCGTAATGAGGTTTATCATCTCATTATCTATTGTTTGAATTGCATTCGACGCGACCAAAATTCGACGTATAAAACAGGCTTAACAAACTTGTTGCATGCGAACACATCTTGTTGACAAGTTGTGAGATTTTTACATATGTAGTCAACTCGTCACAGGCTCCTCTCTTGTGGAGGTGAGAGCAAAGTTGAGGTCTTGGCATTTAAACCTGTCCAAATTAAAATACTTCTAAACCAAAGCAACGAAAATAAAAAAAAGCACAAATATTGTGAGCCAGCGGTTTCTTTTGCCATTCGTGACCCTACTTTTTTATTTTATATTTTTGTTCTTCTATACGTTTTTCATGTCATATCAGAAAATAAGAGAAAAATCATTTTTACAACTTCGAAAATTTTACATTTTTTGCGCATGCTTCTCAAAATACCATGTCTGAGAAGATGGAGAAAGACATCTTTGCACCACGACAATGCACGTCAATGTTTTTTCATTCGCTAAAGTACCTTGTTTTCTTGTATATAATCATTAGATAGACACTTTTCGTAGGATTCTACAGTAGTTAAGAAAGTTCAATAACAGTTGAACGGTTGAGCTCTGGGCCCTTTTGATCATTAGTTAAAAGTCAACCGAAAAAGCTACATCTGCCTGCTTTCTCATATCCTGTCACATTCTCGACATTCCATCTTATAAAAGTCAGCACAGGGTGCTAAAAGGGGATTGTGGGTGTAGGATTGCAGGTAGTCTGCAAATTATATAATCCCAGTTGGATAGGAAGGAGAGAAACTAAAAATTTTATTGACACTGATAAAAATCTAAAAATTGTAGCTAAAATTATGGAAAAATTAAGAGCCGTGAAGCCCCCCCCCCCCCCCTCGTTCGCCATCAATTTTGGGGAAAGAAATACGAATTAGCGTTTGAAACTATTTAGTAGGCAATATTTCACTTATAAAGCCCCCTCCCCCTTCAAATTGAGCTAGCGCCGCCCCTGAGCACATGATAATTTTTATGTACCCGTAATTGTGTGGGGGAAAAGGCCCTTATTGAGACTTAGCCCCAGTAGTTGTAATTTCTTAAAAAAATGCCATGGTTGAGCTGATTATTCCTGTAACTCGCAAAAGGGTCAAGATAACGCCATATTTAGGGAAAAGTCCATATTGCACTCGTCATATCTTCGAAACGAGTTCTGTGATCCCAACTTTTTTCTATGAGCATATCATAAACTTTACCAAGTCGCATACTTGACTGCATGTTGTCATATTAACGGCTTATTGACCGAGCGTGAGGTCTGTACTGTGAAATATCAGACCGAAGTTTTGTAGTATAGACCGAGCGACGAAGGAGCGAGGTCCATGCAAAAGACAGAGGTCTGATATTTCACGGTACAGACCGAACAAGCGGGGTCAATAATCGGTTTATTATATGGCTGAACTGAGTCTGTGAGCATATGCTTTTCGCGCGAATTAAATCGACTATCGTCAGTTTCACTGGGTAACAATACACGGTAGGTGCATCCATGCTCAATCAAAAATAATTTGGTTGTTTGAAATTTTTATCGGTAAAGCACAATTATTGGAAATCTTGTTCACAATTGGAAATCAATTGGAATTCTGTTTGCAAAGCAAAATTAAAATTTCCCGCCAAATAAACGACATCTGGGACACAGGTCCAGATACGGAAAATACGGACCACGGTCCGGATATGGGTTTTTACGGACCGCTTGTCAACCAATCAGAATAGAGAATTTTGAAAAGCCATATAATAATATTATTTATTGTCCTATTGTTCTAAGGACATTAAGAAACTGAAATGTTTTTCTTTTTCAAAATATAGGATTTGAGTCAGAAATTATTCCCAGCTTCGTTTCATAATGACTTCATCTTGCTACCTGACCGCAGCAGTTTTTCTCATGTGCTGCTCAACAACAACAGTTGCTCAAGAAAGTTCAACATTTCAGCCAGGGAACAAAACTGTCATTGGAACAACTTTGAACCCAACAACAACTTTTGCTCAAGAGAGTTCAACATTTCAACCAGGACACAACACTTCCGTTGGATCTAATTCGACCAGCTGCAAAAATCTTCGCGTTGACAAATCCAAAATCGACGAAGTACTGAGTAAGCAGGGCAGTTCCACTATGACGAATATAGTTAACATAAAAATTTCTATTGTTCCTGGCAAAAAGCCACCATATTTGCAAGAACTGGAATTGCCTTGGGCGAGTGAATTTGGTCGCACTATAATTCATTTGGTTCGGCGCGCCAGAGATAGTTGGATCTTCAATTCACCTATCTTTACTTTCATGTTAGAAGTTGGAACTGAAGAAGTGGATATTCAAATCACGGAGGAAACAGATGGTTGTTTGCCATCCAAAAAACAAAAAACGGATTGGATTTTTGACTCTCTTCTGCATCAGCTTTCACATAATTTAGACAAACGTTTCTTTAAACTTTGCCGAATTAAAGATGAATCTATTCATTATGCATCATACAACTGTTGTAGAATTGCCGGTGAAAGAAACTTGACAATTTGTGCTGAATATTCATCTGCTGTAGTCAAATGGGCTCTTCCAATAGTGATATTCGTATTTCTTATATCCTTTTTCATGATTTTACCTTTTGTGCTCCAGTATATCATAAGATATCCGACAACTGAGTTTTACAAAACTTCTGAAAGTCATATGTCTCTTAGTTCTCTTGCATCTAAGGTGTTTTTTGAAGGATGTGGACTGGTTAAGTCTTTTTTCCGTCGATGTGTATTCGCAGGATTTGCATCAGTGGCGTTTGTTTCCTCTGGGCATTCATTGTTGCAGTGGGTATTTATCGAATGGCTGATAGTTTTTGTATTCGTTAACGATATTCAAATGACGAATGAAAAAGGCAAGGAAGAATGTATCAAGAAACGCGAGGCAGAATGTGCCAAGACATGCGAGCATAAAAGTACAGACGAATGCAAGCAGAAATGTATTAAAGAATGCGAGGACAAGTGTACCAGGCCGCAGTGGGATACGAACATAATTAAAGGTTTTACACTCCCTTTCTGGCTTCTTTTTAGTTACATCACTTGCATCATTAATAGCGACTGCATCAAGCGTTGCAAAAACTCTGAACGTCGCAAAAACTGTGAGTCATGTGAGTCATTTTGCGCGGCGTGGTGTTGCGATTGTGCAAATTTCTTTTTAGATTCATTGAAATGTCTTTGTATGTGTTTCATATTTTCAGTTTTTCTAGCTTTGTATGTAGTTCTTGTAGCACTATGTTTGCTAAAATTTTGTTTTATTGACTTAATATTCCACTTTGTTTGGCCACATCATCGTCCTGCCAAGTGTTTCGTACCAAATTTTGTGGTTTTATTATTAAGGCTTGTAACGTTGGTCATATGCGTCCTTTTCACAGGCACAATTTTTATTTTCGCTCTTTCTGTAGTTGTTGGTTTAACTCTTAACGCAGAATACTTTAACCCTTTCATTGCACCCATTTTGACTATGATAATCTATCTATTTTTGGAAGAATTGGAAGTCTTCTGTAGAAGCAAAATGCTTGCAACTCAAAACGTTAATTATCGAAGTTTGTAAGGAGAAAGCCCCTGCACCGGAAAACGGACAGATCTCAAAGAACAGTGGTACAAATGTAAATGGAGAAAAAAACAATAAATTGGCGGCCACGTGTCGCTTTCTTGACTTCCTATGCCCATGCTTTCGAGATACCAGTAGAGATCAACAGACCTGGAGATATGGAAAAAATCTTTGCTGTTGCTCCATGAAAGACACAACCAATTTAAATTGGTCATTTCAACCAATATGTTTTTACAGTGTGTGTTGCCGACATCCCATGCATGAATAGGGAAATCCCAGAAAATTTTTGAAATTTGAAGCCCGGAAATGCAATTTCCTGCATTCCGAGCGTCCAAATTTGCTCTAAAATTTATGCTGACTATACTTGTATTTGAAATAAAACAAAGAAAAAAACGAACAAAAGGTTTAAAAAAATATTAACCATAATTTATCATTACTTATTAGAGGGGGGTAGCAATGGCCGAAGGCTACGTGTGTGGGGGCATACTCTCGCAGAAAATTTTTGAAACTTGAAGCCCGGAAATCCCATTTCCTGCATTCTGAGCATCCAAATTTGCTCTAAAATTTACGATACAAGTGCTATTCTAGATATTTTTATCGTTATGCCACAAAATAAACATTGTTCTAAAAACTCATTATTCATTGTGATGTCATAAGTGTGATATTTGCATATCAAAAAAAGTTGAATATATCAAGAAGAAAGAGAGCTACAAAAATTCTACCAAAGAGGTTACATAGTTATTTCAAATTATCTTTGCAATGCAATCAAGAAAACGTTGGGTGGAATTTCGTTGCATAGGCACTTAAGAATACAATAGCGCTATATAGTAACCTAAAACTCAGTTTTCACGTCACTCGTTAGTAAGCTTTCTAATAAAAAAAGAAGAGACGTGCTTGTTTTACTCTCACGCGGTGCAACGGTTTGTAATCGTGCCGTTGGTTTGTCAAATAACTGGCAAGAAAACTCTCGAATAAACGCTAGTCTAAGGCCCCGGAACGACATCAAATTTTACGGCTTCGAGGTGAATTTGGCACTTAAAATTATGATAATATAACATAATTAAACAAAAAGTTCATATATCAAACGTTGTAATAGCAGACAAGACTGAAAAACACCTTAAATTGATGTCGCTCCGATACGAATCCGGTATCGTGTATTAAACTGGAGCCTAAGATTGAATATGCTCCGTACCGTTAAACACTCTGACGTTTAATCGAGTAAATACGACAATCAGTGGCGACTGGCGATGGAAATTAATAAAGTGTGAAAATTGACCATGTAATCATCACTATAATTATACATGAATTATACTAACTGATCATTTTTGCGTTTTCAGCAAAAATGGGATTTTCATAAATTTTGCATATATTATTTGTCACTGATCTGAAGAATTGAAACTAATGGCGGTCATATTGGTTTGACCACCACAAATTTACCCGGTGGTATTTCTGTCTTGCTGGCATGTTATACTGGGTTTTTTTATTGGTCGGAAAGAACAAACATGGTTATCTGAATGGCCTGTCTTTCTTTTTAATTGACCAGTGAATAACTAATTTGGTCACATCAAGTTATGTTGCACAGGAAAACATATAGTTGCCTACTAGTAAAACTGTAATTTAACCAGCTAACGATTTCCCGATTGGTAAAGAATTTCACAGATTTGAAAATTTCATCTTCAAAATTATTCTGGCTTCAAAAGGATATTCCATCCGGTCTAGTCTTCAGATCAGTGGCAGAACAACACATATCAGTTGTACTATGATATATAACCTTCACTTTCTTATGTATGATGTAATTTATATAACTATTAAATGTGATTTGTATTATTAAATGTGTAATCATACCGATGGCATGCGTGTAGAAAGTAATGTTTTAAACTATACATGCATATAGATACTGCTCACTTTATCGAGGCTTTTGAGTGACCGACTACATCAAGTATTATAATTACTTTTTCCTACTCAGCCATTACTTTTTCCTACTATTTTATCTTTACACCAATTGTGATATTACTTTCTTAACTGCGTTTATCCTAACCCACCCTGTCAACTTTCCCTGTGGCAGGAAACCGGAGCACCCGGAGAAAACCCACGACTTTCGGCAGAGCGACGACTGATTCTTTTCACATGCGTACAGGGGCGGAGCTAGTTCTATTAGTGACCTCTTGAAGCAAGCCACGTTTTTGTGCATACCTTTTCTTCCGCCCGCGCTTGAAACACAGAGACGACTGGGGACGAGTCAGAACACGGACGTCACCCGAAAATTGGTAGAACTAATGTAAAAAAAACTTTAAAAAATCTTATCAGTGTTTTGTGTCATATGTGTTGAAGATTACTACAAACTGACCATGGGCGTACCGGAAGGAAAAAAATTAGGGGGGCGGAGAGAAAATTGCCCGGCTTTTCAGAAATGTGCCCGACTAGTACCGAAAATATTTTTCCGGAAGAATTATTTTGGCGACCTCCCCTAACCAGCCCCCCCCCCCCGTCGCCAAAAAAATTTCGGTCAGTATACCATTTTAGGGGTCAAAAAAATTTTCCGAACATACCAAATTTTTCCGAACATCAGACAAATTTTCCAAATAACACTAAATTTACCACAAAATTTACTGAATTTTCAAAAAAATTGACAGAATTTGTCCATTTTTTTTTATAACAAACCAAAATTGCCCGACTGTTCATCGAATATTGCCCGACTGCCCAAAAAACTGGGGGGGGCTACCGCCACCCCCCCGCCCGGTACGCCTATGAAACTGACACAAACACAGTCAGTTTAATCCAGTCCTCCCTCCGTAATCTGACGCTGCCTCCTCCGCAGGCCCTCGTTGCGTCATGGGAAGGTCACGATCTGGCGAGGGCCAATCCACTGGGCCAATCTCGTTCCCCGAGCCTGCGATCCTCGGGAAGGAATCGAAGGCTCTGGGATAATCCGTTACCGGAAGCCAAGAATCATGGCTAAGATTGAACTACGCATTCCATATCAATGGCCAATCAGATTCCTCCCTGAAACGGATTATCCCAGAGCCTTCGGTTCCTTGGTTCCTTCCTGAGGATCGCAGGCTCGGGGAACGAGATTGGGCGAGGGCCTGCGGAATCTTGTAAAAAACATGGCGCCGGCGCATATAAAAAAGAGATACACAACAGATATAAAAAAGCGGCGTGAAACTTGTAAATTAAACTGGCGACTCTTAGGACGTGGAAGGAAGCATTTTTTAACGATAAGGTTTGTTGTCCACACCAACGTTGCACGAATAAAACTGCCTTCTTTAACGAAGCAGGTTCAAAACAACATTTATTCATTTTACCGAGATTCCGCAGGCCCTCTCGAAATCGTGACCTTCCCATGAGACAACGAGGGCCTGCGGAGGAGGCAGAACGGGCTATTCCATTTAATATCCGTACCCCCCCCCCCTGTCGAGGATCCCTGGAATTCTTCAGGGGTAAAGGGTTTTGAGCTTGGAATTCTTCAGGGGCAAAGTGTTTTGAGCTTGGAATTCTTCAGGGGTAAAGTGTTTTGAGTTTGGAATTCTTCAGTGGTAAAGGGTTTTGAGCTTGGAATTCTTCAGGGGGAAAGAGGTTTGACTTTGAAATTTTTCAGAGCTTGCAATTCTTCAGGGCTGAAGGGTTTCAACTTGGAATTCTTCAGGGGTAAAAGGTTTTGAGCTTGGAATTCTTCAGGGGTAAAGGGTGTTTGAGCTTGGAATTCTTCAGGGGTAAAGGGTTTTGAGCTTGGAATTCTTCAGGGGTAAAGGGTTTTGAGCTTGGAATTTTGGAATTCTTCAGGGGTAAATGGTTTTGAGCTTGGAATTCTTCAGGGGTAAAGGATTTTGAGCTTGGAATTTTGGAATTCTTCTGGGGTAAAAGGTTTTGAGCTTGGAATTTTTCAGGGGTATAACAATGAAAAACATGTATCCTCGACAGGGGGTGTATGGATATTAAATGGAATAGCCCAATCTGACGTCCGTATTGACACAAGAGCTCCCTACTGACGTTCAGTTCCTTTCATTAAACAATAATGTTATGATTTATTATAATGTATTATTACACGAAAAATACATTAAATCGAGGCGGGCAAGCCTATCAAATTGCCTGGTTTTGAAGTAGAATCTGCCCAACTAAACACTGACTGTGGTTGTAGTTTTCCAAGTCCCCCACCCCCCTCTCGTATCATATTTCCGAATTACGTGATCACATGCAAATCCAATGATAAATTTTGAAATGAATTTATTTCATAACAATTGAAATCATAGCAATTAATTTTTTATCTGATATCCAGATGACTGAGAATCAAAGATTCCCGGAATTCCGCATTCCTCGGTTATTGTTTAGTCAGCTGGGGCAGGTTGTATAAAAGTGATTAAAGTTAACCATAATTAAGTGCAAACGTCATCCAATAAGAAGCGCGTATTTGAGAGTTAATCACTATTTAACTACAAAATAGTGATTAAAAAAGTGATTAAGAGTTTTATACAACCGGCCCCTGCACACAAAGTGCTGTTGAGTATTGAATGCCAGGGAAGCATCAAGTGACTTGCCGAGGTATGGAGATTTGATTTTTATAGATTCATATTCTTATACCAGTTTTCAATGTGTTATTTGTAATATATATAAAATACATATGTTATTTTACTGTAGGTGTGTCTTGCCTGTAGGCTGTACTGTTGGGCCATACATATTACGACTATTATTATTAGATTGAAATTGGCATATCGCTGCGATCAGTCTGGCTTCAGATTAATTTAACCTCGAATTTAACCGGCATTAAAAGTGTATAACTAGCTTTCATGCTATGCAACTAGCCAACTACCTCAAAAATTTAAGGAGAATTTCGACATTCAGTTCCTTTACGTAATTAAACAATAATGTTAATCATTTATAATAATGTATTATTAATACACGACAAAATACATTAAATCGAGGCGGGCAGGCCTATCAAATTGCCTGGTTTTGAAGTAGAATCTGCCCATGCAACTGAACACTGACTGGGGAGGCTGTAGCTTTCCAAGCCCCCCCCCCCCCCCCCCCCTCCTCGTCTCGTATTTCCGAATTACGCGTCAGTACACAGTACTACATATAGCCTCCTCCGCAGGTATTAATTTTTTTGCCTGCAAGAAATTTTGCCCGATAATCGAAAGGCGATGCCTGCGGAGGAGGCTATACAGATCATTTTTATTTTTATCTCATAAAGTAATAAACGGGGAATCCAGATTACGGAGAATGACGATTCTAGGATTTCTCCATTCCCGGCTTCCTTGTTTAAACCGTGAGCTCAGGAAGTCGATCAGAAGTGTGATTCTATTTAACTGTGATTCTATTGAATGTCAGGGAAGCATCAAGTGATTGTCGAATATTTTTAAAGGTACGGAAATTTGATTTTTATAGATTCATATTCTTATACCAGTTTTCAATGTGTGTTTATTATAAAATACATATGTTATTTTATTGTCGGTGTGTCTTGCCTGTACTGTTGGGCCATACATATACAGGGTGTCTCAAAAAAAACTCTACGGAAATTCAACGGGCTGTTGTGCATCATAAACGTAGCTAACCAGTTCGGTTTTTACATAGGATCAGAAAGAGCTGTTATTTAGCTTTTCTATGACACCTTTTTGAAATCGTAACGATGAGAAATGGCTACACACTCGTCAAATAAAAATTGCCGGTCGAAATCACATTCTTCCACCGTTGGGAATTGAAAATACATTAATTATGCAAAGTTAGTCAATCCAAAAGCAACGCGAGCCTGCTGCAAGCTATTTGGAGTCATAAACGTTTTGATAACGAACGTTCTCTGTTCAGGGGTTAATTGAACCATGTTTCGTACCTAAGACGAAGATTGACGAGTTGAGCTTATTTTAGATAATTTAGCATTCAATTTTAATTCCCTCTTGGGAATTGTTTATGTTTCGTTTTCGATGCAATTCCCAACGGTGGAAGAATGTGATTTCGACCGGCAATTTTTATTTGACGAGTATGTGGCCATTTCTCATCGTTACGACTTAAAAAGAGTATCATTGAAAAGCTAAATAACTGTTCTTTCGTCCTATGTAAAAATTGGATTGTTTAGCCACGTTTATGATGCACGACAGCCTGTTTAATTTCCGTAGCGTTTTTTTTTAGACACCTTGTTAAGGCTCTGCTCGCAGGGTACCTGTATTAGTAGTTTTGAAATTGGCATATTGCTGGGATCAGTCTGGCTTCAGATTAATTTAACCTCGAATTTAACCGGCATTAAAAGTGTATAACAAGCTTTCCTTGGTAGGGATGCAACTACCTGAAAAATGTAAGGAGAATTTCGACGTTCAGTCCTTTAATAATTAAACAATAGTGTTAATGATTTATTATAATGTATTAATACACTACAAAATACATTTCCTGGACCCCGGGATATGGCGGGGAAATTAACATTTCGACAATGTTAAATTTTGGTAATTTCCCTGCTACCAGGGGAATATTGACTGTTAAAGTTACCGCCCCTATGGCCCCGGCACTTTGCAAATTTTCATGGCTTGGAAATGGGAAATCGTTGAAGTATAAAATGTTCACAACATGTGAAGGCAATTCTTGATCTTAAACTTTGATCTGCATCAATTTAAGATACTGAATAATCTACGTTTCGACTATCTTGCAGTCATCATTTAAGAAAAACTATGAGGAAACAATGAGTCAATGATAAACTCGTTCCAGTCCACTTTCATATCAGCCGTGCGTTAAAGTCCCGGCTAATAAATTGACTTGTTATTTACCCTGTACCCCGGGGGAAATGCAGGGCTGCCAACTCTCCCGGATTATCCGGGAGTCTCAAGATTTTGGACCTAATCTCCCAGTCTCCAGATTTTGTCTTAATTCTCCCGGATTAGGATAATCACCAACGTCGATTTATGCACTAGCCATTTGATTCTTCGTTGTCAAAGGTTTTAACAATAAAAATTATTTGCGTTGCACATTCGTTTTGCTGGTAAAAAATAAAATTCTTTCGTTGCTGCTGCGTTGCTTTTAATCAGCGGTTGAATGGCGCCAATATCCGTAAACACTTCATCTTACAGGGATTTTTTAACCCGTATTGACGCCATTAAAGATGTCGATATTTTATTAAACTAGTACCAGACATTCCAACCACTGGAGGTAAAATTTAGGGAGACTATTCAGTGAATTGAAATCTAGTTCTTCTGGGAAAAAATAATAAAAATTAAGTCTTCTGAAATGGTGTTTCCTGCATTTTGGGACTATGTTATTATAAGTGATCCTATAAATTGCCATAAAGCTACTTCAAAAAAGGTCAAGACAGACTATTATGTTGCTAAAAACAGTATATTTATAATTTTTAATGATATTTCCTGAATATTCTGAAAAATCGGGAGAATTTGATAAACATCGGGAGACCGGGAGATTGCATGAATTTTCGGGAGACTCCCGGTAAAATCGGGAGAGTTGGAATGTCTGAGTACATAATATTGTGAAACTTGAAATCAACAGTTATTTGTGTTCAGGGACGCCGGAACTGGGGGGGGCAGCCCCCCCCTGCCTTTTGCTAGGGGGGGGGGGCAGAAGTGCCCTTTTAGTTTTAAAATAGTACGCGATAAATCACATTTCCAACGATGCTTTTTGTAGGAAAATCATGAGATTCAGGCAATTTATAGTTAATATTTGTATGTCCGGAAAAATTTTTGACCCCTAAAATGGTACACTGACCGAATTTTTTTTGGCGACGGGGGTGGGGGGGGGGACGTCGCCAAAAAAAAATCATCAATTCTCCAGATTTGAAAACTTCCAGGGTTGGCAGCCCTGCTGATGTAACTTGTATTTTTCATGTAGCTGATTCCCTTTCAATCCACAACATTGACATATACCCATTAGAAAATAATAACATAATTAAACCATTTAAAAACGTCATACTATAGAAGAAAAATGTTTTGCAAACTAATATTACAGTATAAACTTGAAGTGTCTGTGCCAGTGTAGGTAGTGCCAATCAAATGAACAAGCTTTCGTTGCTAGGGATGCAACTACCTGAAAAATGTAAGGAGAATTTCGACGTTTCGAGCGAAGGCCTTGCGTTACTAGTAACTCCAGCCGGAAGGCCTTGTCGAAATTCTCCTTAGTATATTTTCCCGGTGCTTGCATCCCTACCAACGAAAGCTTGTTCATAATACTACAGTTCTCTGTTTATAATTTTGTTAGACCGCATTTCTACAATCTTGGACATATAAAAAGGTTGAGACTAGCATTCCCTTATACAAAATTTGCGTAGCCGCCTTTGTGTGACTACTGCTACCTTTCCATTTGTATCTCTACCAGGCTTAATAACAATTTGATTGGCTATAATCATAGATAATGCTATAATCGGGTAGATTAAACGCATCTGATTGGTTGATGATAGTGGAAGTCAAAATCTCAACCAGAGGCAGGGTTGGCGGGGGCCCGGGGCAATTTTTTTTTAGGGCCCCTATCTAAAAAATTTTTCCCGGAAAAAATTTTTTCCGGAGAACAACCTCCCCTCCCCCCCGTCGCCAAAAAATTTTCGGTCAGTGTACCATTTTAGAGGTTAAAATTTTTTTCCGGAGTACAAAATTTTTCCGGACGAGTACGTTGCAATTGCTTTCGAGGAACTTTATCTCATTTTTTATGCCAAAATTCGGTACTTAGCCCAAGAAAACAGATATCTTGTCCTTTGCGCGGAAATATTTAACACACAAAAAAGGCTGGGGCCCAACAAAAATTTTTCAGGGGCCCCCAGCAACCCGGGGCAATTTCCCCCCCCCCCCTGCCCCCCCACTCTCGGCGGCCCTGACCAGAGGTAGCTTGACGAGAATGTTTTAGCGTATTTGTTGCGCAGTTTTATCAAACTTTTACTCTGTGATTTGGCAACAACTATACGCGATACTTACACAAAGTACTTCCAAATTACCACACGCGGGTTGCTCAAAAACTTGAACGTGGTCAAAGGTTTTTCCGAATTTCTTGCTTTTAAAAGCTTTTTAACTCGATTTTAAACATGCTCAGACGGAAATTAACAAGAATTCAGTTCAGCCGCGATGATATCGAAGAGTATGAAAGGATTAAGCGTGAGAAACTTGCCAAAAATAAGACGGAAACCACGAACACAAGTTTGACAAATTTTCCAGTTCGTGGTCGACAGACGCAGGAAGAAAGGATTGCTGAAGTGCATAGAAGAATTGGATATCAGCCCGAAAATGTACCTGCAGATGGTGCGCAGAGACTTATGTGAAATTATTGTGTATATATTGGTATGTATTTGTTGAGTGAACACTATTGAAGTGTGCACCCCCCTGTCAGAGAGGTTTAAACTCTGTCTGACAGGGGGGCAGTGCGGGACAGAATGGAATTCAGCCTGTGTGGGTTTCAAACTGTGACAAGCAGAAACAAGAGAGATGAAATATTAACTTGTAGAAACAGACTGGTGGTCGGTTCAAATTCTGACAGCAATGGGCAAACTAAATTGGATGGTGACTTAATTGCTTTTCTAAGGGTTGTGTCATTTGTGGATATTAGCAAAATCGTGCATGCTTCCTCTTGCACGAAAACATGCTGTGTATTTGTAGGCATATTTTCGTGTCAAAGTGTTTGAGAATGTGACTACATTTCTGCACTTTTCTCATTCAAACTATTAACTATCATGCGGGCAATCAGATGTTGCCATTCCTAAACGTTTTGACATGAAAAACATGACACGTTTTGTCATGCAAAAACAAGCATCTGTGGTTAAATGGTAATAATTTGAAAGTTGAAACTGAATGTTAAGCATGTGGGGTTTGTTGACCCCTTTATTGCCTCTGACAGAGCTCATTTAATAATGCCATTATTGTTAATGGAAAAAATTATTATATTGTAACTATGAATTTGGCATTCCATAATGCTGTGAAACAGATATATGTTGAGTTATAATTCTGTGATTTGAATTATTATAATCTATGGCAACAGCTAACCAGTCAAAACAATAACAAAAACCTGTCATACTTAGTTCAAACTGGAATGCCGTAGCATTTGAATCTGAGAACAGGCCATTTGAGGTGTATTGCCACACTTGTGTGTCTTGACATCTACGTTGAGTCATCAGGATTTGCATTTTACCAAATATGCCTCATTTGTTTTGATAGTATGAAATGTTTGCAATTATGGGACATTTTGTGTGAACAGATTGTGGACAGTCCTACAAATGTTTGATATGTTTGATATTTTGATAAGTTATAATGTTGACAGCCACAACACACAAACAAATGTGGATGAAAACATATCCTCCCGGCTGAGATAATGAATAATTGAGTCACAATTATTTCCCTTCCAGCCCAGATAGAATACTAGCTATGTATACCCATAAAATATTTGCCTAGACGTCTACACATGCTTTGGATGTTTGTGGTATTTTGTCCAACATTGTTAATGATGTTAAGATGAATAAAATACCTTAAATTTCAACAAAGTAATTTCCTGTTATGAACTGAGCAACAACAATTTTCGTAATATAAAAATAGTTTTATTTTGAAATTTTATAATAATTCACAATTTACTTTGATGTTACTGTAAGAATTTAGACTCTAGTACATACAACATTATCTAATTATATTAAGCATCTTATATATATAAAACTGTCTGTGACTTTGTTCCAAGTCTAAGATCTACTCTAGCAGACCAATCCATAGCGACAGTTTTGTGTCCACATGATAATTAATTAACTTTTGGTCTTGGTGTTATACAAAGGAAGCAAAAACAAACATCTAGCTGATTAAACGGAATTAGTACTTGTTTGTGCAAGAACGTTTGTTTATTCATCTCTTGCCCTTTTGTTTGGCAATAAGTTTTTAAAATACCTAATCTTGCTTGATCTTTGTCTATGAACTCTTTGATGAATCCTTGTTTAATAATAATTTCAGGCTTTTCAGTCATAAATCATAATTATGTCATCAAACTATCCATTCATTGACATTGTCTGCCTGTTTGAGTGTTTTGTCCCTGAGTTCTGTTCACTAGTGGTCTTGGATCAATTCTCATTTACAAATAAACCTTTGGAAATATTTTTTCGACCTGCATGTGTGCGACACTGTTAGTTTTGTTTGTAACCATGTTGCAGTGTAACCTACAAAACCATGTAGTGTTCACATGTGCCCTGCGACCCTTGGTTGATCCGCGTGTGCATTACCGTGTATCTTCTGTGTCCTGTGAGTAGAGTCTAGGCCCTTCAATAAAGTCCAAGATTTATTCGAGATGTGTGCGTATGTATGGTGGCCCATTGTTATCATTGTGAATGTCAGTAGATAATTTTAAAATATGTCAACATCTCTTTTAATTAATATATTACACGCTCGTTTAGAACTGCTACAACACTCGTCTGTATTATTGATTACCCGTTCATTCCGTGCTTTGTCTTTGAGACCCGGTGTTTGTCATTACTGCTTAATATTATAGTAGTTATACTGGAGCTATATGACAGTCGCGAACATTACGTCAAATATATATAGCCAGTATAGTGCGCACTTCATATCACTTGTTTAGATTGCTTTCAAACCGTGGCAAACGTCGTGCCACACTGTGCCCAAACCCTCGATTCATAGTACGCATTTTACGCCAAATGTGTTCCTGAACCGTCCGTCTATTTATGTTTCCTAACAAACGAAAGCTTCCTTGCTCGAAACCCATTCAACTTTCTCTCGAGCGCACGAGAATACAGCAACGACATCAATGTTATTCTCTGCTGGTTCTTCAAGTCACAATCTAGTACAAAATCATTATCATTGAGCTCGCAGTCGTCGCTTTCACTGTCTCTATGTCGTGTCTGGGCACTGGAAGCGTTTATATTATCACTACTCGTACACCGTAGACCTTCATCATCTGCAAATCCACTGTCTTCACAACTATCGTAAGACTCATCTGTTGTTGTTTGAAGTTTATCTTGCCCTCTTAACCTCTCCGATATTAATCCTCTCATGTTTTGCCTAAATCCTTCAACTTCGTTCCAAAACGTATTCAACTTTCGTAAAACACTATCGAGTACTCTCCACATCATATAAACCGTCTTACTGTACAAGAGTCCACTTATATAACCCCTCCACTCACATGTATACGACACACGTTCGAAGCTACCAGAATTCCAATTTCTACGATTTTCTAGTGCTTTCTGAAGCTTTTTATTACGATGTTGTGACTGTGTTTACATCGTGACATGACATTATGTTTCTTATAACTTAAAGATCAAGTTTCAAGATTTACATTGCATCGCACGTACACTTCCGAAGCCTTTGGTAGGTGCACGATGCTTCCTTCAGTAAACCAGAAGGAATTTGGCTTTTTTTATACACGCTAGATTATGCGGTTGTTCGCTGCCCTTCCGTTTCTAATCCTTATTGATGATTGAGAAGCTATTGTGTATTGTGTCTGGAGTGTTCTAACGGTTCTTTCATATGGCACCCTAATGAGTAATGACCCAGTTTTTTAAATTTCATTGAAATGATAATGAGGTTTTATTGTAGAGTGATACTGGCTTTCGTTAACCGCTCGCTGCTAGGCTTTCAACGGGTTAAAGATAGTTATGACTCTCCGCTCATTAAAATACGATTTAATGCGAAAGCTTTTTATGCAGCTACGAAACATTCAAACTAGCTACGTTGTCATAGACGAGTTGCGCGCTTCATTTACACAATACAACTCAAGTTGCCAACAGTGTGCTTGCGACAGTTTCAGGCAAAAATTGTGTCGTGTAAATCGCCCTTTATTCAAAATTGACATTACACATTGCTATTGTGTATCTCAGTAGACAGAATGTATCAATATAAATTCAATATAGAGCCACATAAAAACATGTTATCAATGGGAAGCATTAATGCATGATAGACTACAGTACACTCGACTCAAAGTTATGAATTCTCTAGAAAGTGCAATTGTCAATTGTGAATTTTGAAGTGAAATAGAATTTCCGGCGTTGGCCAATATCGGCCCTTGTCGGAACATTGTTAAATTCCATATCGTTGCCATTGGCATTGATTCAGAATGCTCTTTTTTTAGATACTACGGTAGCTTATCGTAGAATTCTATCTGAACTTGACCCCGCACGTTTGAGATATCTTTTTCAGGTAGTTCAGACACAAATTTTAGACTCCTTACAATGGATTGCCCACGTATTATTTCTGGAAATTTCTTTGCACGAGAGTATTGTTCATGTTTCTTTGCTTAAAAATACTCGAGTAATTCGATTTTATAATTAGGGGTAATTATGTTAACAATTATTATGATAGGTCATGCGTATATGAAGACGTTTGCCGCTGTTTTCGTGACGAGGATCTTTATTCAAATTGAACACAATCTAGAGTAAATTTGACCACAAGATTTCAACCAATTAGTCTAAAGCTTCAGACACACAAGCAACAACAAAAAAAGAAAGATATCTTAAACGTGGTGGTCCACTGTAGGCAGTATTCCTCAATTAGCTGCCGTGGTGTGTCTGAACTACCTGAAAAAGATATCTCAAACGTGGTGGTACAGTGTAGGTAGTATTCTACAATAAGCTGTCGTGGTTTGTGTTTGAACTACCTGAAAAGATATTTCAAACGTGGTGGTCCAGTGTAGGTCGTATTCTACAATAAGCTGCCGTGGTTTGTGTCTGAACTACTGAAAAAGATATTTCAAACGTGGTGGTCCAGTGTAGGTAGTATTCTTCAATAAGCTGCCGTGGTTTGTGTCTGAACTACCTGAAAAAGATATTTCAAACGTGCTGGTCCAGTGTAGGTAGTATTCTACAATAAGCTGCCATGGTTTGTATCTGAACTACCTGAAAAAGATATCTCAAACGTGGTGATCCAGTTTAGGTAGTAGTATTCAATAAGCTGCCGTGGTAAGGTGGTATGCGGACGTAAAATAATTTATCCAACACAATTTTCCATTATTGTTTGAATAACATGAAAATCTGAATTTATTTTACACAGATTATTGACGATTTACAATTTCATTTTGAACACAAAACATGAAAAATAAAAGTCCTCGTTCTAGAACTTTTTGTCTTTCTAATACCGATACTTTCAAGTCAAACACAACAACGCAAACAACGTGTCGTGAGGAAAGGCAATAACACCTGGCATTGTATCTTCCTCTGATTAGATTTAGTAATCGTTACAGTACAACAAATAGTGGTCAACATCAGAAACAGTCCAGGATGTGATAAGTACGCACTTACGTACCAGAGGTTCGCCAATAGAGAGGTCAGATTTGACTACCTCTAGCTGGCTTACGCCTGTATTCTAAAAGCTCACACTCAGAGTGGTGAACCTTTTCATGAGTGTCAGAGCTGTTTTCAAATAGCTGGATGGTGAGTAGTCACCTGGTAAGGTACGACACTAACACTAGCTATTTAAAAACAACATTGACACTCAAAGGAGGCTCAGATCGAACCTCCACCTTTTAGAATACAGGCGTTAGTCCGCATCTGATTGGTTAATCGGATTATATGAAACGCATCTGATTGGTTGATAGTCCCTTAATGGTAGTGGAATCTGAATCTCTCTATTATTACAGTCCGGTACTTCAGCCAAGTAAGTACTCCACGCAACCTAGTTCCCAGGGTTATCTAGGTGAATTATTGCAGCCTGACATAAATTCTATCTATTGCCCCCCAAAGTACTGTTAGCTTAAGGTACGTTTACACACAATGATTAGTCGGGCCGATTCAGCTTCAAGTAAACGATATTTGAAAAATACGCTGTCAACGTCGACATCATCAACTGACAACATTCCTCATTAACATTCGGCAAAACCTTACCCTGGGTACCAGAGCCTCTTATGAAGTGAGGATAAGAGGCTCTGGTACCCAGGGTAGCAAAACCTGAAATCGGCCCGATTAATCGTGTGTAAACGTAGCTTTAAACGAAAATAATTAACTTTATTTTCTCACTCTGATAACTGCAGGTTGACCACCATCTGCTGCACGATAGTGCTCAGTGAAAGCCACCTATAATACAACAGAACTAAATGTGCACTATAATATAAATAAACTAAATAATATATCAATGCTATAATGATAGGCCGTCCTAAACTACCAGTACATTATCAGGAACATGTTTCTTAGCTTGAATAGCGTTAAACACGCGCGCAGTGTCCTCTAACATCATATTCAAAATGGCGTCCGCAACTTGAAACTTTACATTCGTCTCGTCCTCTTCATAGTCCGTCCACAAAGGTTCTTCCTGTCGTAGTTCCTCGATCAAGATGGCGTCCACGTTGTCTTTCTTGTTCCCGCGAACAGGCGTCTTGCGTGGTATGGTCGCCATTGTCGCCCGCGGCGCACCCAGCCCGATGACGTTCGTAACTCGTTCCATGACAGCCGCGCGTATTTCCTCGTCGCTTTTCCAGCGTTTAAAATGTCGCGATAATTTTTGTCCACCTTTCCATTTCGCCTTTGCCCAAGGCGGTCGAGCTGCCGGTTCATTTTGAGATAATGTATCTATAAAAACTTCTTTTGTTAGATCAAACGCAAGGTGTCTATAGGACTGCGTACTGGCGCATTCTAACTCGTTCTCAGCCTCCCCGGCCAGAAACTGCGCCCGCGGTAGGCAGTCTTCCAGCGGTCTTCCCAACCGTCTTTGTTCAAGTAAAACATCAATGGTCGAGTTGACCATGGGCGTTAGTTCTTGTGTTGAATGAGGGACGGCAAACATGGGCGAATACTCCGGGAATGACACTTCATTATCAGAAGGAATATCTGAGCTAAAGTTTGTTATATTCACAGGAAATTCATCCTCATCGTCAACAGTGCCTAGAAGTCCCGCAATGTCGTCATCTATGCTTCTCAAAGCATCGTCGTCTAAAATTTGATTGGTTTTCGCTATCATTAATGCATTGTCTATCGTCGTTTCATCATCGGCCGGGCTTTCAATCTCGGGAATACTCACAGGGGACGTTGTTCCGGTGGGAATAGTGGTATCGGGAATTTTCTCCGGTACTGTTTCCTCGGCAGGAGGAGACAGTACAGGTGCAGTTCGTGAGCTTTCAGTTTCTGAAGGTTTAGTTTCGACGGCTGCCGGTAATTTGATATTTTTCTTTTTACGTTGCTGGATCTCAATCATTTGCATAATTGCATCCGCTAGTAGGTCTTTGGTAATACTATTTGTAGCTAAATGTCCCTCTTCGCTCCTTTCTGTTGCTGTTTGACCACTTGTTACCCTATCTCTTGTATCAGATTGAGCTGTCTCACGTCTGGTATCAAGACTTGCTGTATTATTAGTATCAAGACGTCCAGTAGGAACACCTGGTATACCCGTGTGTTCACTGCCTTGTGTAATGTCATGTTCACTGATAACCTCGTTTGTATCCAAGGGTCCTTCATTATCCACACGTTTCCTGGTAAGGTCATTTTGATCAGAAGTTGTTTGATCAGCCGACTGTAATTTGCTAGCATTCAAGTTTTTAACAGAAGTCAGAGAGTCTGCAATGATTTTTGTATATATATAATTTGTGATGTCATCACCCACGTGTTTGCCATGTGACTCACTCTTGTGTTCACGTGACTCGTACGCAGTCCCCTGCGTGCTCTCCGCGCCACCTTCCACCGTTTTATGATTTGATGAAAATATTGCAAAGTTCTCTCCCTTGTCACTGTCTTCTGCGATTTCGGAGAATTCTCCAATTTCTGAGATTTCCTCTGCAATACTCGCATCGTCGAAATCGTCAGAATATTGTTGTTCATCCCCAGATTCCTTCGGCTGCTCGTTCCTGCCCACTCCTCGTGACCGTGAGCTCTGTGATCTCAAAGACTTACTACTCTCGTCGCTCTGTTTGAGTGGCGAAATGTCAGCTGCAGTTTCTCGTGATACTTCAGTATAATCTCCACTCTGTTTTATTCTACTCTCGTCCATTTTAGGTTCTTTCAATCCAGGTTTATCTAATCCAGATTCATCTAATTCACTTACGCTCTTTTTCGGTTCACTTAATCCGGGTTTACTCACACCAATGTCATCAAGTTCAGTTCTATCCAGTTCCTTCAATCCGGATTTATCTAATCCACTTTGATCTAATCCAGTTCCACTCAATTTGTCCAGTCCACTTTCATTCGCTCTCATTCTTTCATGCTTCACATTATCTCCAAAAATTAACTCTTCCGACTGTTGCTCTCTCAAAACACCCCCACTTTCAGAAATATCCCCTTCTTCGTAGCCACTCGCAATCTCTTCGGCAATGGACGAAGCCTCCGAGCGGCTTCCGTTGTCATTCGGAACTGAGTCTTGTGGAGATCTTGGGGAAACCTTGGACGGTGTCTTAACTGACTCTGGGGATTTTCTTTGCTCGCTTGCAGAAGATTTTTCCTCATCTGATTTGGTCGCTGGAACTGTCGGAGATGGCTTCGTTTGTCGATCGCTTTCGGATTTTTCATCTTCCGTCCTCGCCCTTGACCTTCTGGATGACGTCATACTTTTCTGAGAAATTTCATCATCAGAAAACAAACTCTTTGAAATGTCTGAAGCATCGCTACGTTTTCGTCGATTCCGACTCTTGTTTGCCTCGCTTTTAGACTGCTCTTGCCTACGACGACTTACCGAAGAATGGTTGGAAACGCTAGTGTCACTTTCGGGTTCATTATATGACGCTTCATCGGAAACCCTCGCGCTTCTTCCAACCGGTCCCGTTAAATGCTCGGAAATACTCGGGATTTCTTCAGCAGGCCCTGTCAAATGCTCGGAAATACTTCGGGACTTTTGATTTGGTGGATCTTCAGATATCTTCTGTATACTCGGTGACTTTTCGGAAACACCCGTACTGCTTTTTGGTTCAGTATAAGAATTTTCAAACGTCTCATCTCCATAGGAATAGCTAGGGGTCTTTGAAATGGTATATTTTGTGCTCCTCGGCGATTCTTCGGGGGAGCTTATCGCCTTCGAGTGAGTACCTTCGACAATTCTCGAGTCTTCTTCGGAAACACTCGCATCGCTTGGAATAGGTGTATATAACTTTTCACTAAGTTCTTCAGGAATTTCCGAAATTTTGCTTGTTTCATCTTCGCCAACGCTCGGTACTTGTTCGGGAATACTCGCCGTGCTCCGCGAGTGTTCGGAAATTTCTTCCGGAATATCAGAGGAGTCATCTTTGGCAGGGATTGGAGGGGAAGCAGGTTCTGATGTTGATTTAGTTGATTGGTGGTCAATTCTTTCATTTTCCGGGCGTACACCCCTGTCCATATCTGGGAACACACCCTTCCTCCCACGGGGAGTAGGAATGTGAACTTTATCAATGATTTCCACCATCGATTCCTCTTTCTCGTTGGAGTGTAATTCATCTGGAATGTCCGATGTCTCACTTCCTGTCCGAACTGGAGAGGTTTCTGACAAACGTGGTCTTTTTGTTCCAGACAGAACGTCCGTAGACTTCGGGCTGTCGTCCAACACCTCGATCAGAGATTCCTCTACTTCATGGGTCGAGGACCCAACCCCCCTGTCCATGTCAATTCCCCTCTCTGATTCATCCTGCTTGTCAGATACGAGGGGGGTATGATCACTTGATCTCCTTGACGATTTCCCTCTGTTTTCCCGGGGAGAGAGTACCACATCTTGATGCGGGGAGATTTTAGTTGGTGTTGGGGACTGCGCAGCCGCGGATGCCGTCTTGATCTCAACCATTTTTCGATGGATGTCATCTCTAGTATTCTGAAAGTACACGGAATATTTACTAATTAAGAAAAATATAATCCCACCTTCAGGAAACATGGCTAGGAAAAATTCTTGGTTCACCCACCTTCAGGAAACATGGTTAGGAAAAATTCCTGGTTCACCCACCTTCGGGGAACATGGCTAGGAAACAATGTTTCCTGGTTCGCCCACCTTCAGGAAACATGGCAGGCAGACAATGTTTGAAGAAATAGTTCAAAACAAACCTTTATTTCGATCTCAAGTTTAATGGCTTCTTTCTTCATGACACTTCGTTTGATTTTTCGTTTCTTTCTTTCTAACGCCTCGAATTTTTTCTTTTCTCGTACTAACACCTCGTTTAACTTTCGCACTCTTTCTTCCACGTCACTCTGGTCTGAAGTTTCTAAGAAATGAAGAACAAATACAAAACTATCAAAACAACGGCCAATCGTCAGCTTTGCTTGCAGTGCTACTAATAGAATTGTTTGCCCAGCGCTAGTTAGGGCACCAGATCAAAGCTAACGACCGCAAATTTTTAATAGTCCCTAATGTCTGATATTATCAATATCTCGTCATTCGTCTGGGAATAAGCGCGGCTAAACAGACAGATTATCCACCATGACGAACTTTAGTTCAAAGTGACAGACGAACATGCGTGCTTAGTTGATCTTGACGAATCAGGCATGTTTTGCTCTCAGAATCACTGTCAGTATAGATCAGGTTATTCTAACCAGTTCGTCATGATAGTTTGTGTTTCCACTAAGATGGATAATCCATTAGACGGATAATGGTCTTAATCCATCTCTAGTAGATATCAGACCATTCCCAAGGCGTCTTAGAGTGCTACCTTTACGTATCAACATGAACTACGTACGCAACAAACTACGTAGATTGTTGGTCTTGTTGGATTAGTGAGTTGATAAACTACCACGAGTGCTTCGAAGAGGGAAATTTTAAGTGGGAACTATTGGCCCGATGTCTTGATCAATAGATTCAGATTTGACTTCCACTACCTCTCATTGGCTTAGAATGCATCTGCATGATTGGTTCATCGAATATATCAAACGCACCTGATTGGTCAATGGTTCCGGTAATGATTGATTTGATTTTTTTAATAATTACCACATTGTAAATTCATAAACGTGTAAATTCATAAAACGTGATATTACAAAGATAATATTAAAATTTTTAAAAATTGCGAAAAGTTCAGTTTAAAACTACTATAATATAAACTATATTGATGATATGTACTATAAAATATTATGTTATGCCTATGGTCGGTCCTAGTTTCTAACACACTTTGGGATAAAACTGTTCTTATATCGTTCAGTTTTGCACTTGTACATAAGATAAGTGCGTTTGTTTCTTAGACTGAATTTGTGAGATATAGCACTGGGAAGTAGCGTTCTCAACTTGTCGTCTGAGTGTTGATGGATGTTCTTGTAAAATGACAAGCACTGATTCTCTCTTCGCTGGTAAAGTGTAAGAAGGCCAACATTTCTTAGCGAGGTAGCATAAGAAGTCAAACCTGAACAGACTAATCTTTAGTATAAATCAGACCACTCCCAGGAGCCGGTTGTTCAAAGCTGGGTTAGCTTAATCCTAGGTTAACTTAAAATTCAAAGCAAACTTCCAAAGTGCTTGTTTATAAATTTGGAAATATTTCTTCAGAGATCTTGTCTGGATCAGTAGGAGTTTTCTTCTCTGAAGTGACGTGCAGAAATACATAAACTAAAACACCAAATTAAATTTAACTGGGCGTTGCGATAAACCTAGCCTGCATGGCAGGCGGTCCCTAAAATCGGGCAAGCCTGGTTAGCGTTAACCCAGCTTTGAACAACCGACTCAGGTGTGTACGAGTGTTACTTTAATGTAATCAACTTTTTTTCTTACCAGTCAACGAAAATAACTCATCCTCCACATTCACTTCACCATTCTGTGACGTCAGATGCTGTGACGTCACAGACCTTCGTGATCTTGGCGTACTGTCATCGGACTCGAACGTAGCGTTGTCGTAATCGTTCGCCGTTTTGTCGGCGGCACTTTCTCCTTTGGCGGCCTCCTCGCTGACTGACCTGGCCGTGCTCGAAATCTCTTCTGGTACAGATCGCTCACTAGGACTTTTCCCGGAGGCTTTGGACTGTTTTGAATGGCTGGCGTCTGAGACCCTCGATTCGGATTGGCTGGCTTCGGCAATACTTCTTTTTGATTGGCTAGCTTCGGAAATAGCGGTTCCCAATTGGTTACTGAGATTTCTTTGGTTTTTCAACATCTCAGTGACTTTCTGTAGCGCGGTGTTTACTTCAGTTTCATCTTTCACTAATTTTTCTTGTCGCTCTAATAACATCTTGTGAATTTTGAGAAGATCTCCGCTCTGACTGGAACTACCTTGACCACCCACATCGACACCACTAGAAAATAACGAAAATATTGCTTATTCGGGATAGTTCTGTCGTTCTACGCTGTTCTCCCTATAGAAGTCCAGTAACGGCTATCCTTACTAAACTAGTTATTTATACTATCAGTTCTAAACTGTTCTCCCTAGAGGTCCAGTAAGGATCATCTCTTATTAATCCAGTGTTACTACACGAGGAAACCTAAACTAAACTAACTTTATTTATACTGGATAGCTTTATCACTTCTAAACTGTTCTCCCTAGAGGTCCAATAAGGATCATCTCTTATTGATCCAGTGTTACTACAAGAGGAAACCTAAACTAACTTTATTTATACTGGATAGCTCTATCAGTTCTAAACTGTTCTCCCTAGAGGTCCAGTAAGGATCATCTCTTATTGATTCAGTGTTACTGCAGGAGGAAACCTAAACTAAACTTAACTTTATTTATACTGGATAGCTCTATCAGTTCTAAACTGTTCTCTATAGAGGTCCAGTAAGGATCATCTCTTATTCATCCAGTGTTACTGCAGGAGGAAACCTAAATTAAACGTAACTTTATTTATACTGGAGGTTTTCATACTTGAGTAAGTTAACTTTAGTATATTTCTACTAACTTCTATTTTTTTCTTATTTTATATCAAGACAAACGATTAATAGCTATTTTATAATTTCGCTTTTAGGTTAAAGAAATTTATATAATGGCAACAGCTTCAACTGCGACAAAAATGTGTGATATTAAAACAACCACTTGGCTGTAACTGGTCACAATACAGAGAGCAATAAAAGGTATATTGTATGTAGTCGTAGATATATTTTATTATACAAGGGCTAAACCAAGCGAAGCTTTACAATAGACTCATTGCGGTTGACCGTAACACTAATGAGCTCATGCATGTCATTTCGAGAGCAACACGAAGTTTCAATCCACGAGACACACGTAGTCTTAGCAATGTATGTGTTATCTCGAGAAATTTATGGAAATTTGCATAAGAAATAAATTATAGCACAACTATATTATATCTTCCGTTGCGGAAATGCAGATAAATTTTAAACAAATTTCTCATTTAAATCATATACATTTCTTAATCAACTATATACCATGATAACTCAATTCTCTAAATTTCAAAGCTTAATTTGAAAATGCCTTGTTATTATACAGATTATAGAATTAATATTAAGATTAGCACTTTGACTTAACATCTGCAAAAGTACTTACTGCAAGAGGTTTTTAGCACAAATAAATGTAATAAAATTAAAGCGTGATAACTTTAATCTTCACAATTTCTTAATTTCCGCGTGATTTTATGATCAGTTGCACAGGTTTTTGGAAACATTTAATTTTGACATTTCAACAGGTAGTAGTAACATTTGCTATAACATCACATTTTGAAGCATTTGATGTAGAAATACACATGTGTTAACATTTGACATCTGGAGTTTAATTTTTCCTTATATTCATAACCATTTATCGACCTGTATATATTACTTGCACTGGAAACATATTATGAAGGATTTCACTGAGAACAACTTTCACTTTGCCAGCTATATATCAAATTAACTCTACTAAGATTTAAGCTTAACTATTGCCAATTTACACGATTAATTTTTTAAGCTTTCCTGCGTTTAAAAGTAAACATGTTAACCAGAACTATTCAGAATAACAAGAAACTCAAATAAAACATAAAAGCATGTTTTACGCAGTGCGCTAACAGCGACCTACCTTCTCAATTCAGACAAGTTTAAACATGACATCTCAGACGTTTACGGAAACGAGAAAATACCGAATATTTAGCACATTTAACCAATTTAAAAACATTTTAATACCAAGCTTGTGACGGCAACACGCAAACTCACTTTAGTACCATTTTCGTCTAGAAATCCACCTTGGAATCGTTTATGCCTAACCGAAACCGGCCCCGCTCAGACGCCGCGATAATTTCACAATATAAAATCTCTGGAATTTAACTTCATTAGTATGCTGTTTGCCTATATTTAGCTGTGATTTTTTGCGAGATTTCAAAAACCACGACACTCGAAAACGACAGAGAAAAAAACCGTACACATATACTTATCAATGTTATCTCGAATTATGAAAATATATAGCTAACGGTAGGCGTATTCCCTTTGACTTTTGCTCAACAAATTTAAAGGTTAAAATTACGTAATGTTTTGATCGGTACGCTTCGTTGATTAATGAGCAGGAAATGTCTTATGAAAATCCGTGGGAGGGGATCGTGGCCGGTTTTCGCCGAGTTTAGCATTAATATATGTATAGACATGAAATGTAGGTTGGCGTTATCTGCATGATTAGATGTCATAGGGTTTATAATTCTGAAAAATCATCGAGCGTTTCAATATTATGAATTTGCAGAATGAAATGTTGTCATGTGTATTAAGTGCTGTCGCGTGCTGGAGTCATATTGGGTTGATCATTTTATACGAGTTTCGACACACGATTTCCTCAAGTGACACTTTAAGAAAATGATGAAATATAATTGTGTTGATGTAAAATGCTCTTCTAAAGGTGACGAAGGCACAGTCGTTACAGTGGTTGGTGCCTTTCGTGACTGGGCTTACTGCAATATATACAGTTGTCTGGTTATAAATTTCACCTCAGGCTCAGTCGCATGTGAGTGAAGCTCTGAGACCTTTAGAACTGTTAGAGCCATCCAGTTTATATCAAGTTAGTTCAGTGGACCACCAACACTCCCAAGAGAATGATGAACACAATATTTCCTAATCCTTTGATTGCGAAACACTGAACGAAATCATAACACGATCTTATAACGCGAGCACGCAATAAACGACGCTGGAGCACGCAGTAAGCGACACGTGAACACGACCGAGCAAGCCAAACATACCTCAACATATTAAGAATTGTGGAAGTCTCTGGTTGTTGTTCACCTCGCGCGGTAGTGCTCGGTTGCTCTTGGTTGCCATCCTCGGACTTGGGAGTAGCGTATGATGGAAAGGATGAACCAGTGGTATTAGGGGATAATCCCTGTTGACCACTGATATCTTCAGAAACACTCTTAGCCGATGCTGATTGGTTAGTTTTTGATTTTGAACTGCTTGATGGCGTGGATTGACTGTTGGGTTTTGCTACTGGGGACGAGGTTCTGGGATGACTCTGTGATGGCTGAAGAGATAAAATTGAAAAATCATTATTAACTGTCTTAATGGAGTCTTAGCTGTCAGCTCAGCAGCCTCAGCTGTCCATGTCTCTACCTAATAACAAGACTTACCTCACGTGAACTACGCTCTGATCCTTTCTTTGACGTGTCTTTCTGAATTCTCTCTCGGATATTTAACGTGGCTTTATTTAGTCTCTGGATCTCTTGTTGTTGGTAGATCATAAAACGTCGTTGAAAACTGGCAGCTCTGTTTGCCGCTCTCAAGCATTTTATCTCCTCCTAGAAATACAATAATTAGATATTAACAGAAAGCTGCGTTATTTTCATAACAATGTTTTCTAGTTTGCCCAGAACCTTGGCCTGCTTTATGCCAATCAAAACCCGTTGAAACCACACTTCCATACCTTCTCAGCTTTAAGTTTCATCCTGATGCCTCGTTCCCGCTTCTTTATCGACGGCATGACGTCATCAGATCCTTTGTCACGTGACTGTTTCTTCATCCGCTCTACCCACTGTAACTCGGCCTTAGTCTTCTCTTTCAAAGACTTCTCTCTCAATCTCAAGATGGCGGCCTGATGTTTAGTACGGACCTCCTCTTCGTGTACGTACTGTTGAATCATGTCTGCCGTGAACTTACCGAACGAGTCGTCACTTTCAAACGGCGTACGGACTGATTTCTCCTAGGAGAAATGTTGAAAAGTGAGAATTATACACGTCTCTCTATGTAAACCGTGCGTGAGTAGAGTCGAGTCTCTCTGCGTACGTTAAGCATTGTTAGATCATGCAGAGGTAATACGTGTTGCCGTGTTGGTGATATATGTTCTTCAATGTAGGCTATCCTAAAGTGATCTGATATTGCACAGAACTCACTGCTGACTGTGCTGAGTTAAGCATCATGGTTAAATCATACAGAGGTAGTACATGTTCTTGAATGTGGGCTACGTTGAAGTAATCGGATGTCGTACAGAACTCACTGCTGAGTTAAGCATGGTTAGATCATGCAGAGGTAGTACATGTTCTTGAATGTGGGCTACCTTAAAGTGATCTGATGTTGGACAGAACTCACTGCTGAGTTAAGCATGGTTAGATCATACAGATGTGGTACATGTTCTTGAATGTGGGCTACCTTAAAGTTACAGTATATCCTACAGAGTTAGTACATGTTCTTGAATATAGGCTTAAATATCTTAAAGTGATCTGCATGGTGTTGTATTAAGGATTTAGTACCTTCCTCTTGTCTTCATCAAAGGAGATATCCTAAATTCATTGTGAAAAGATACAAATAAATGAAATGCATTTCAAGGGACCAGAAAATGTAACAAGAAATTTCCTAACTTTCATTCTCCTGATTCCTTTCCTGCGATGTTCTCTGGACGGGAGAAGAAAGCTAAAGTTGATGTCTTCATCAGTCAAAGCGTGTGACGAGTCGTCAAACTGTGAACTGTAGTCGAGCACTGATGATACTAGAGATAAGAACAAGAAGAAGAGTTTGTTCATTTTTGTTTCCTCAGTGTTGTCTGATATGGAATTTTGCATTGAGGATGTTGGTGTTACAGCTGTTGGCGCATGCGTCTTTCAACTCTGTGACTGGGGTTTCATTCCCGCAATGTGCACCATGTGAAATGTGAAAAGAGTGCCTTTTTAGGTTTTCCATGTTTAATCCAGATATATTTTTATTTCAGTAAGACTAGACCCAACAAAGAATGGCCCTAACTGAATCTCTCGAAACTTACTAAAGAGTTACTAAATTTATTCAGTGCGATGTTTTGAATTGTGTTCATTCATACCCGAGTCATGTCCTTTGCTTCTTGGTTCACGTGGTAACACATCTCTTGCGTCATTTCCAGACTCGTCGTGAACTGTCGTATCGTCTTCGTGAATTGTCGTATCCTCGGAAATACTCTTCTCAGGAATATCTTCGGCGATGCTTTCGGGTGATAAGGAGGGATGATCTGTGATTTCCGCCTTCATGTCTGAACCATCGTGTCTCGCTGTTTGACTACACAAAAGATAGGATTTTATTCAATAAGCTGGTCCGACCTTACAGAAGAGCTGCATGTTCTTGAATGTAGTATACTACATTCCATCTGATGTTGTACATAACTCACTGCATGGTTAGATCATGCACAGACAGTACATGTCCTTGAATAATAATAATAACATTTAATATCCATCTTTGGTCAAAAAATTTAATATCCATCTTTGGTGAATGTAGGCTACTCCGATCTAATGTTGTACAGAACTCACTGCATGGTTAGATCATGCACAGGCAGTACATGTTCTTGAATGTAGGCTACTCCGATCTAATGTTGTACAGAACTCACTGCATGGTTAGATCATGCAGAGGCTGTACATGTTCTTGAATGTAGGCTACTCCAATCTAATGTTGTACAGAACTCACTGCATGGTTAGATCATGCACAGGCAGTACATGTTCTTGAATGTAGGCTACTCCGATCTAATGTTGTACAGAACTCACTGCATGGTTAGATCATGCACAGGCAGTACATGTTCTTGAATGTAGGCTACTCCGATCTAATGTTGTACAGAACTCACTGCATGGTTAGATCATGCACAGGCAGTACATGTTCTTGAATGTAGGCTACTCCGATCTAATGTTGTACAGAACTCACTGCATGGTTAGATCATGCACAGACAGTACATATTCTTGAATGTAGGCTACTCCGGTCTAATGTTGTACAGAACTCACTGCATGGTTAGATCATGCACAGGCAGTACATGTTCTTGAATGTAGGCTACTCCGATCTAATGTTGTACAGAACTCACTGCATGGTTAGATCATGCAGAGGCTGTACATGTTCTTGAATGTAGGCTACTCCGATCTAATGTTGTACAGAACTCACTGCATGGTTAGATCATGCAGAGGCTGTACATGTTCTTGAATGTAGGCTACTCCGATCTGATGTTGTACAGAACTCGTGTGAGTCGAGTTGTTCTTGAAAGGGAAATTAAGTTCCTCACCTTTGATACGACTCAAACTCATCGCTTGAGTAGCCCGCTTGCTGACGCGGTGACTTCACAGAGGGTGAACTATTTAACGATTTTGATTGGTTAGATAGCACATCACTCGTGCGTGTTCCCTCGTCACTCGTACGTGTCCGTTCATCACTCGTGCTACTGTGTTCGTAGTTTATCGCGTGTCCTTCGCTGATGCTCGTAGCACGCTCGACAAGTGTCATCGTTGGTCGTTTTGTCTTGTGCAGATCTCCGATTGCAGCGCTTGTTGTGCTTGTTAAATTCTTGCAAAATTCCGCAAGGTGATTTGAAGTGTTTGCTAGGAGACCTGACGTCATCCTCGTTGCCTGGCAACAACAAAGAAGAGATATGAATTATGATAAACACAGAAGCAGCCATTTTAAAGGTAGGCACTCGAGTGTTGAGAACCCAACGGCTGGAATCTGAGCCTATTTAAATGGCTGGTAATCATAAGTTTACTTGGGGTGCCACTCTAGGTAGTGGGCTTGTACAATCAAAGACGGATACAGTACTTGGATTTTCCCTGTAAATAATACCAAACCAGTAAAAGATGACACGGAACTCAATCAATCATAATCGTTAATGCAACTCGTACAGTAGTACCTCTTCCATATACTTTCTGGAATGTTCCGTGTTCGTTTTTATGGCTTCAGTTTGAACCTAAAACGTAGACGAGTACAATATGTTTCTCACTGATACAAATATTACATAGACTTTTCAAACCATTAATATATACACATAGAAAACTTTTTTGTTAAAAAATCTTTACAGTTCATGATTCACTTACTTCTGCTAGTCTTTCAGCAGCTGAGGCAGCTGCCACGGCCGCAGCTTGACGTGTCTAGAAAAAAATATATATACAACTACAGCATAAGCACAACCATTGAGTCATTTTGCAAGCGCCTTTACAGCCCTTGGTAACTTGCCCCTTTACTCTGCTATAAGCGTTCGCATACTTTAACTAGGGACCAGTTGTATACGTAGACCGGATAGCGCTATCCATGATCCATCGGCATCGGATGGTGATTTTTTCCAACAGCTGTAAAAATACTTGAAGCGCTACAAAACTACAGATACGGACCTCACAAGTAATAGAAAGAAACATTAATTTCTGAACACTAAAATTAATATAAGTTATACCAACCAACAGGCGATGTTAGAAAGCTTGAAAAAATTACTGTCCGCTATCCGGCTTTTGTACAACCAGCGTATTAGGTTTGCACGTACACGTTTTCTCGTGAAATATTACATAGCTTTCCTTCGTACCTTCTCTAGATCCTTGGCAGCCTGGATGGCTTCCTCCTTGGCTTTCAGTCGCAGATTACGCATGTCTTGTTCATGAGTTTGTTGCTTGGCCTGTGACGGAATGCAAGTAAGATTTTTAAAGTATACACTACATTTAATTGAAGCATTGCTCATACTGGATAGCTCAATCAGTTCTAAACTGTTCTTCCTGGAGGTCTAGCAAGTGTCATCTCTTATTGTTCCACTGTTGCTAACGGAGGAAACCGGGGTACGCACGTAAAAACGCACAAGTTGTTACAGGTCTGCAACCAAGTTGTAACAAATCTGTTCACAAGCTGTCAACAAGTTGTCTTCGCACTGCTTGTCCCCAGTTGTTGGAACAAGTTTGGACCAAGCTGTTAACAATTTGTAACAAGCTTGATGGCATTATCTGACTTGTCACAAGGTTGTTCTAACAAGTCTGATACAGTCATGATGGTTTTATTTACCTTGAGTATTTGCGCCAAAGATACAGTCTCTTGTTGTGCCAGTGAAATAGCTCTGGTCCTTTCAATATCGCTTACTTGACGTACCGAGTCTTCAACATTTTCCAGCAGGTTGATCTCGGCCGTGAGCTTGCGCTGTAATGAGTCTGGGGAGAGGCGATCCCCGCCACTACGGTCTACAGGTTTAGGTATGTAAGGACGCCGTCTGATTGGTTCATTTTCTTCCAACGGAGAGATCGAGGGACTGCGACGAGTCTCTGGTTGCTGAAAGCAATAAAACAAGTTCTTTTCATGCTCTGCTGTAATCAAAGGTGAATGTTAGTGCGGTGTCCATTACCGCCGAGTTACGTCAACAAGTTGAAGGTAGGGTATTGTTACTTGACGAATGATTACCCTGCCCTGTGTGGTTCTCTCCTGTGCGTCAAGAGTTTTTCCTGTTCTTCCTTCCTAGGAAGTCTTTGATTTGATCACGGTTGAGTTACATCCTTCCCAATTCAGCTGCAGGAAAGGATGGCCAGCTCATCTTCCTATGCCTCTACCCTTGTGACAAAACACAACCCTCTTTTGTCGTTCAAACGAAGAAAAAACTTCACTATTCAAACTACTCACCATAGTGGAAGCCATGACAGGCAAGATAAAGTCGTCCTGCTGGTTGGGGCTTGACATGTTGTCATCTTCAGATAATGGCGAGGTCTTGCTTCGTTCATCTCGCTCCGACAACTGTCTCTCTTCACTCTCTGCCTGCGAGGTTCGTTGTTCATTTTTCTTTCTTTCCAAAGATGAATGGCTAGCTTTGCTCTTCTGCTTTGTTTTAGATCGCTTCGTGTCCGTGTCCTCGTCTGTTTCGAAACATTCCGAGTAGGTCTCGGCTTTAGAAGCATCCTGCAAATATTTTATAAACATTTGGCAGTTATGGCGGGTATGATTAGAGTCAAATTTCGTACGATATTATGAGTCTCATGACTTGAATGGAATCATTCTTGGCCCGATATTTTGGTGTTTCGGGCAAAGAAAAGATTAGTTCGTTTTTGTATAAAGGAGGTATAAAAGCGGCATTAGACGAACAGGCATTAACATAAAACACGAAACTCGAAAGCAAAATTTACCTTTTTCACATCCCCGTCTGTCATAACAGAAGATATTTCTGCATCAGTGAAGTCATCTTCATACTCCATATCAGGACTTTTTCTTCTGTCTACTTCCAGCAAGCTAGCTGTGTCTGAGCCTGGCTCCTCGTTTAAAATATCTACACATAAAATTGTTGAAAAAAAATATGAATAAGGGTTTACGGCTATAGCCTGAAAGTGAGTTTAATTGAAGTTAAGTCGACAGCAACTTACCTTCCACCGGTAAGGTTGGGTGACGGCGAGAAAATATATTCATAACACTGAACCTGAAAAACACAAGATACAAAGTCACCACAAAGAGAGATAGCAACAGAAACCATGCGTCAAATATCTCTACTGCAATACCTGTCGCCTCTTGGTTCGTAACGAACTGGCGATGCTGTGAAATGAGTCACTGAAGGTGCGGAGAAATCTAAACAGAATATTATCACAATATGTAGTTCGTTACAGGAACAGCAGCATCAATAACACCATACAGTAGTTTAGTTTATTTAATAGATTTACCACAGATTACATACGAAGCATATTACAGACAGTAGTTACAGTTTGTTGGCGCCAGCGAAGGAAAACAGGACAAAAGTCCCAATTGACATTCAATCCCATAAAAACATACCATTGCGAAGAAAATTACTCCGTGTTCTGAGGTCATCATATTGAAACTTTCTTTCCACTTTCGGAGCAAGACGCTAAATAAAATAAAAACAAAAAATATTTTTCAAACTAATTTTATGAAGAAGCAAACAGGATGTTCCAGTCCAAGGTTTGAGATGATTGAGCTGAGCAACCAATTAATAAAGTGCAACCACATTCATTGACACCCATTATGGCAGCGCTCTTTACTTGACGAACGAAAAATACAGAGTAAAAAATACAGTAGGGTGCATCAGGGCGCATTGCCAGATCCAACACAAAAACCACAAACCTGCAAATCGTTATTCAGTCGCTCAGTTTTATAAAACGGTCGTATGTTTGTAAATTGAACATCATCAGATGATGCTTCAGACAGAGACGGTTCCATATCCATTCTCGTTCCGTGAGAAGCGCTTGGGAACGAGGTTGGTTTCATAACATGTTCACTTAACATATCACGAGCATTGCGGTCTGACGTCAACGCTGGGGCTGTGTTTCCACTTCGTTCTGACGTCATTTTCTCATCTGTCCAATGACGTCTTTTCCTCACTGTGTGACCACGATAGGCTGCTTGAATTTTTGTTGCTGCTGCTACTCGCGTCGACTGAAAAACATAGTAATAATATAAGATGACGATATATACATAGTTCAACGTCATTTCTTGTGTACGAGGCGTGTTGATGGTACAGTCATTTGAAGCATGCATCTTTCATCATTGTCACCAAGGTTCAGTTCCTGCAATATGTAGTTTTCTGATTATAATTTCACCTCAGTCACATGTGACAAGAGTGCTTCCAGTTTGACTCTACCAAACACCACAGGTTCTGGTACTCCTGTTTCCTCCTGTAATAACACTGGAAGAGTAACGGATGACTCTTACTAAACCTCCAGAGAGAACAGTGTAAACATAACTAATAGAGATAATTATACATAAGTAAGAAACTTAAGAACCTGCTTCTCATTTTCATCGGCGTGTTTCCTGATATTGGCGACACCTGAAGAATAATATCAACCAGAAGATTAGATCTATTTGCTTCTTTTCTTAATTAAGAATAAACACACCTACAGGGTGTCCACCCTTTGGTGAAGGTGAAATTCAAGGACGTTTCCAGGACTTTTAAGGCCCTTTTTCAGTGAATTCAAGAACCTAGAACTGGGAAAAATCTTTGAAAATGGCACGGATTTGCCCAACAAATAATTCACTTTATTCAGTAATTTTAATCAAAATCACTAATGTTGGCACAGCTGGAGGTTAAGGGACTTAATTAATCACGTTTTACAATTTTTTCTTTCGCGCGGAAAACTTTCTTTCAGTGGAAATGGGCCTTAACGCTTACTGAGACCCACATACACGACGAAGCGTGGATTCAAACCTGGTAAAACTCCTTGAAAACCAAAGTCCGTTTCCATCGGTTGCGCCGAGGCCGCAGGCTGAGGAACCGCTCCTTCTTTAGCACCGCTGAGACGTAAGGCGTGTGATTGCAGGCGCGATTGTAGAGCGAGCGCAGTAGCCTGGAGCGCAGTGAGACGTTGCGCTCTTTGATCCAGTGCTGGCGCTGGCGACACAACTAAAATAAGAATAGAATTAGAGAACATTTTTAGAAATAATTTATACAGAATGTAACCATTTCAGTTGTTTCACTGTTGTCACATACCTAGTTACAATTTATTTATTTATTTGTACATTCTTTACCGAGGAGGTCTCAGTCACCAAAAGTGGTTTTCATGAGAGCCCTCAACTCACGTGCCTAGTTACAACTCACATACTGTACCTAGTTACCACTCACATGCCTAGTTACAACTCACATGCCTTGTTACCGCTGAATTTTACCTGGTTCTGCCGGGATGTGACGCCGTGGTGTCTCACGCGAACTTGTTAATATGTCCTCTGTTAATGTGACGTCAGCATCGTCAGTGTAACGCTCCGATGACATTTCATCGATATCTTCAAGTTAAAATAAAAATATAAAGTAAATGAAAATATGTAGTAACGCTTTTTTGAGGCTTTCGGTAAGAGAACCGATGAAATAGTACAGTAACAAGATAAAATATAACAGTAACAACAAGATTACTGGTGATGACCACACTCTAACCAGGTGATCTCGTGTTCGTATTTTAGCCAATCAGCGCTCAGAACGGGTTGTCCGAATAGAAATCCATTTTGATGTATTCAGTCAATTATATCTTTCGTTATTCTTTATGAAACTAGTTGAAATTTTGTAATTATGTTTGGTTATGAGAACTATAGCTCTGACAAAAATATGGAATCGAAATAAAGTATATTACAGGAGATATTCAGTTGTTTTAATCATAAAATGGATTTCTATTTGACAACTAGTGCCAGTACTTTTCTGCGTATCAAGATCACCTGGAAAGGTAGAAAGAAGTATTATAAACCTGTGTTTTCTTTGTCTGACTCATTGTCATTTGTATTTTGAATAACTTGATCATCCTGTAAAGAACGAATGTATATTACTTAATGAACCTCTCAGTCTCTCAGGAAGAACAGTTTAGAACTGATAGAGCTATCCAGTATACATAAAGTTATATTTTTATATATGTATATTGTCTAACCTTAGTGTATCCTTGATTATTTTCAGGATGAAAATCCTCACCAGGGACATGAACATCAAAATTTCCAAATGAGAAAGTCTTTCCAAGGCGTTTATCTTTCTTTGTGGGAGCGAAGCTCTTCTTTTGTCTCTCGTACAACTCCTATACAAGGTAAAATTTATAATCGTATCACTTATTTCATTTATAATCGTATCACTTATTTGGTCGCGTTACCAGCCTGCGCGTTCTCGAACAAAAGTAAAAAAGAGTCGTCGATATTCAAAATTTAGGCCATAATATATTCACAGTGCCAAACGGGAAAGAATAACCTAAAACTTATCGTGCGGTCGTGACTAGGCTACGGTTTGTTTGGGGTTAGAGTGTGGTCGGGCTAGACCTTGGATGGACAGTTTTTGTTGATTTACTTCCAAGCCATATGGCCCATATATTGTACGGCGAATTTTAAAAACGTTTAAGATTCTCACCTTTAACCGTTGCTGTTTTTCTTCCTCTTGTTTCTTCTTCTGTATTTTTTCTTGTTTTTGTTTTTTCTTTCGTTCCGCGAGCTGCTGAGCCATGTATTTCTGCAAAAATATCATTCAATATGAAATAAATGTTTTTGGTGTAAACATGTAGAGAGCAAGAGACTTATACAGGAACATAAGTACCAATAAAAAAGTAATAAACTCCAAGAAATATACCTGAACTTCTGCCTGATCGTAATGTCGCGTTTTTCCTTTTGGGAAGATATCTATGATGAAAACAACGTCGTAAAACAATTATGAACGAAACACTTTTCCAAAGAAAGTTCGTGCACAATTCAACTCTGCATGAAAGAAAAGTAGTGTACCTTCGATTGGTTTTTGAATAGCCGCTGGTTTCTTATTTTTCAACATTTTCTTTTTTGATGGACTACATTTTGCTTTTTCGTCCTTGAGATCTTTCTGAACTTCTGAGTCACTTTCTGTGAACAATGATTATAATTTATATCAATATTCTTCTACAAGTCTGTTCACTGGGTAGAAACAGGTACAATGGGGTACACTGATGTACAATGGGGTACACTGAGGTACATTGCTATACCGTACCTGAGCTATCCTGTGCGAGATCAATCAACATACTCTGTGTTTCTTTGGACAAAACTTCCTTCATTTTGGTATCCTTTTCATCATCTGAGTCTAAAGTTATATCGTCTGAAAAGCAACAAGGGCATCTTGGGTTACTAAGAATTGTCGGGAGTTTATCACAAAGGCGGATTGGAGGTCAAATAATGAGATTCTAATGAGATTCTTTTTTTTAACTGCCCTCCGTATACAGTACACTGGAGCATGACAAAACAATGAAATATAACCTGAAGGCTTGACTGTTTCATCTTTAGGCACATCTTTTTCCGCTTCAAACTTTTCAATTTTCGCGTTAAATCGTTCAATCACATCCTCATCATCGTCTGAAGACAAACGTCCCTCGCTGAGTTCATCCTGAGATCCAACATCGTATGTCGTATGTGTTGTTGCTCTATCATTCTTTAATGGACCTGATGAGAATGATTTATTTAAAATGGCGATTCCCATTTTGTATAAACTATTAATCAGATTATATTTGCTGTGGCCCCATGTTTGGTTAAGTTCATTTATAGCTAGAAAGTTGATTTTCTATGTTTACTTCAAAGTTTTAAGAAATAAAGGTTAGATCTAATATTCTTCACGGTCTAGAACGTATTTTTACCAATTATTCCAGGGCTGCGACCGAAAACTAGCACAAAAACATACCCTCTTCTAAATTTTTCAGCAGTGCCCCCCCCCCCAGAAATTGAGAGCCAGCTACGGGCTTGAGGGACAGCACAGTAATGGCATCAGTGCTTACTTTTTTCCATTCGCACTGTTGCTCTGTCGGACTTGGCCTGTGTCTTGTCAGTCTTCCCTGCTTGTTTGTCAGACGTTTTTGCTTTCTTCGCGTTCAGTATTCGTTTCACATTTGCCTGGCCATCTCTCCAAGATGTTGTAGTGATCACCTCTTGCGGTCTTTTCGAGCCAACGATTCTCGTCATTTTATCTAAATAGTGATTGAGAGAGTTTTACCTTAGAATGAATAACTACACTACGACAGAGATCAAAATGTCACAGTTTTGTTTTTAATCCTGTATCTTGCGTTTCCAGTTCGTGTTCACGATGGACTGTGTTTATGTTTATACGTTTCAATACTTTTTAAACTTTGACTAAATGTCTCGAAAATTCTCCTTACTTTTTGTGGCTTTCTTTTCTTGTTTCTGGCGTGGTTTTGTTCGCACTTTGTCTTTGCTGTCTTTTGAAATCTTTGTTTGAACTGGCGGCTTTTGTTTTTCAACTTTTTTCTGCTTCGGTTCTGACACGGCGTTAAAACCTTAGAAGACGTTGTTTAAATTAGCTTCTTTTGAACCAAAGCTAGCAAAAACATAGTTTGTACCCAAAACTCAGCAAGACAAATACGAGGACCTACATTTACCAAGCGACATATTATCTGTCTGTTTTTAAATCAAATCTTCAAATACCTTTGTAAGTTGGTCCTGCTGCAGAAATTGTGCCAATTTTTCTTTTCAATGGTACTGCTGGTTTCACTTCAGTTTTCTCACGTGGTTCACCTGGTGTCGTCACGTGATCTGTACTCTCATGAAGTTGTCTTTCCCCTGATAATATGTAACAAATCTTATATAGAATTACACTGCAGTTCTACACTCTTTTAGAACAAAAGAAATACATTCTTTGGTCTTAATCTGTTAAGTCCTGAACTTACCCAAACTGTTCTCACTACTTTCTTCTGTTTTTGAAAGCATTTCTTTTTGTTTTCGAACTTTTTCTTTGATCTTTTGCAAAGCAGCTAAATAAATTTCAAATAATAAAGTTTATAGTGTGTAAGGCTCATTGATAATTCTTGACAAAAATTCAAAAGAAATCTATGTTTAATGAGCTGTTGTATCTATTACTTAACTATGTTTAACTATAGCAAAGCACTTGATTAGCTGAACTACAAGTTTGACAATAGACAATGTTTCTGTCTAATTGTTAATGCAAACTATTGTGGATTTGGATAATACCACCAGACATATACCTTCATTCCTCGCTAAAACCGTCTTGCCGTGAAAAGACGGCGATGATGTTACGCTGAACTGTTGAGATGACGAGCTGTTGACAGACGTATTAGTAAACGAGCTATCCTTGCTTGGATGGGGGTCATTAAGGATTGGATGGGGGTCGTTAAGGACGGTCGGGTGAATGGTAGTTGTCTCAAAATATGTTGGTCGTTCACTACGGATGGTACTTCCAGTTTTTGCTGCACCTGCATAGCGAGTTGGTGAATAACCATCTTTTCCTGTAGAGTGGAACAACGTTGTATTACGCGCAGGAAATACATTACTTCCTTCGGGAAAAGGGTATGTATTTCCCGCGCGTAATACAATATGACTGAAAATTGCAAACTTCGCAAGGCTATATTATCCGCATTTTACAACATTTCGCAACAAAACTTTGGAATATTACTAATTTTGTGATGCTCTTTCAAGCTGTGATAAAATTTTTGTCTACACTTGTTGAGATCTAAATTTTAGTCAAAAGGTGAAAGGTCCATTAAAAGCTTCCAAAATCAAAATTATATTGTGTAGGTGCAATAAAAATTCTGTCCACACATTCAAAGGGGACACATCTTTGCAAATCACATTACGCTAGACAAAAGCCTAGGAATAATATGCAATATAATTACACTTACTTTGATTTAGACCAGAATAACCAGCTTTTTGAATGGATGAAATATCCGAACCTGTTGACCAATCAGCTTTTGCCTTTCTAGCTTCATTTTTTGACAGGATATAATCGCTTTGACGTGGTTTCTCATCCACCAACTGAAAGCGAGTTACTTTCCCTAACTGTTGAGTTTCCCTGGATATTTCTTTTAAAACTTTTCCATCTGAGGAACGAGTGTTTCTTGCTGATTTTGATCGTTTATTTGCAGCCACAACATCGCCTTCTACTCTGTTAAGCTACAACAAAGACACATGGAGAGGTAACGTATTGTTTGTATAATCAAAATGATATTCACACATTTGTATATTGGTGGATTGTGTTTAATATACTGTCTGTTTGTTTGCCTGTTTATTTGTCATATCTCCATTTTCAAATGCCAAAACTCCTTTTTCAAATGCCAGAACTCCCTTTTCAAATGCCAAAACTTCATTCTCAAATGCCAGAACGACCTTTCAAATGCCAGAACTCTGTTTTCAAATGTCAGAGCTCCATTTTCAAATGCTAGAACTCTGTTTTCAAATGTCAGAGCTCCGTTTTCAAAAGCCAGAACTCCATTTTCGGCTTGAAAATTTTCGACCAATTGGGTTTGAGCAAATTAGTGGACACTCAATTTTGACAATATGAAACATAACTGAAAAAAATTTCTTTGGTGCCTGGTCCCCTGTCGCAATTTGCAAGCTTCAAGCGAAGCGAGCAAATTTGGACCACACAGGGCTAACTGAAATTTTTTTTGCTACCTGCCAAAAAACTAAATATACAGGCAATTATAAACCCATTGAGCAAATGAAAAAAGTAAAATTGTCTGCTGCTTGACAGAGCAAAATAATACAGCAGGGCAAAACCATTACATCTACTGAACATATGTAATTATTATTTTCTCACTCTGGTAACTGCTAGTTGACCACCATTTCCTGGAAAATAGTGAAACCCACTAATAGTCAATATCATGTTAATTTACTTACTGATTGTTTAATATCAACAATATTATCCCAAGCACTAGAGATACCTAAAGAAAAGCAAAAGAGATACATAATAATATTGCTAAGTCAATTTTAACTTGTTTAGGGGCTGGTTGTTCAAAGGTGGATTAGTGCGAACCCTGGGTTAAAATTTAACCTGCTGTTTTAGTTTATTTATGTATTTCTGCACATCTGTTTATTTCAAAACTTCAGAGAAATAAACTCCTATCGATCCATACAAGATCTCTAAAGAAATATTTCCAAATTTATAGACAAGCTGTCAGGCTAGTTCAGCTTTGAATTTTACGTTAACCTAGGGTTAAGCTAACCGAGCTTTGAACAACCGACCCCAGCAGTAAGCAAAGCATTGCACCTTCAATCTTACATTGACCTGATCTGAAGAATCATCCGTGTTAGTGTAAATACAAGACAAACTATGGAGAACTGTGCAAATGAAATAATTGGAATTGCAATAATAATAATAATATAATATTTATACAGGAAGCCTAATCAGTAGTAAATACTGTTATCAATAAGGGTCCTTAGTCCTGGAAACAAATTATGCTGGATATTTTTCTGATAGCTCATCAAATGCCATACACATATCATCCGTCAAGATGAACTATGTAGACAAGCTACTTATATAATTTGTATTGACAGAAGATCTATCTTTTTCCAACATCTATATGCAGACAAATTATTATCAGACAAACTATCTCCCCATTGCCACAGATCACCTGTCTTTAGGCACTGTCAACAAATACAGTTCATCCCGTATAAATCAAGCCATTGACTTGCCATCAGAATATAACTCAATTTATTAAAAACGCTCTAATTTCCTGTATTTAACTAGTTTTTATAGGGCATAGGCAATGTATCTACTGATTCAATATATATATATATATATATATATATATATATATATGTCGTGTATTATGATCAATGCACAAAATCAAATATACAGTATATATAAAACAACACAACAAACAAAAAGCCAGCGATAGATATACAAAACAACGTCTCCCCATACCTAAAATATCAGGCTTTATATTTCTTCGCACATATATTGTCGGATCCTCAACTCTGCGGACTGTAAATGACATGTTGCTAAATTTAGCATATCAACGGAAAAGAGCGACAATATAGCTCCAAAAATGAAGCGATCGTAAGGCCGCTACTCAGTCGATTGCAGAAATATATACATATCCTGAAAAACCAAATAGATTTCAACCAATCCACATTATTTTCGCTTTCCAAATGCTTTCCTTTTCTTGGAAAAACAACAGTATTTTCGACCCCAATACATTTTATAAACAAATGATGAAATTAATATGGCGGGCAATGACCGCTTGGGATTGTGGGTAGAATAATCTAAATTTTAATTTTTTTCGAAAATTTAAATTTTAAATTACAATTTCTTTTGTTTCTGAATAACTGTTGGCAAAACCTATAAATCACAAAGGTAGGAAGAATTTAAAATACTTAAAATACATGAAATTTTATCACAAAACTTTGAAATAATATGTTTTTTTATCGTTTTTTCGGAAACCTACTAAATTCAATATGGCGGACATTGTGTTTGCGAGAATTTTAGCTGGATATTTTTGGCGGTAGACAGGTGTGTCGACATTTCAAAGACATACAATACGGGTTATATGCTAATTTTTATTTTTTTAACTTTTATTTTTCTTCAAAGGTATTAAACACTACTGTGAAGATATAATTTAGTGTGCAGTGCGACCAAAGCTTGGTTTCATTTACTCACAACTAAACTGTCGTATAATGAGTGTAGCCTGCGTTGCAGGCCAAGGCGTCTGCTGAGGTGGCCTGCTTTTCAGGTGTTCCACAGTAAGCAGTCTGTCTGCCAATCAGTAACCTGAAATTCAGGCCCTAATTTTTAATTAGGGCCTGAATTTCAGGTTAGCCAATCAATAAAGACTAATTTGCATACAGGACATACATAGCACACCAAAGACAATATTTGACCAAGACTATTTCACATTCTCAGACATGACCGCTCGGTCATGATGGAAACCATTTTTTATTTGTGCAAAAGCTTATCTAGTTTTTTAACTATTAGCTTAGTTAGCTATGGTGAGTTTGTTTGGATACGAAGCAATAGCTAGAAAGGAAGATGAATACGTTGGGAACATAGCTGATAGTCATGTATTCTAGCTGAATATTTCACGACGTTTCTGCCACAGTTTTAGCAATACCGTTAATATATTAGCTTTAATAATCAGATATCTAATCAATTCGTAACCATATAAATGTCGTAGCGCTTAAAGGAATTTGCTCGTGAATCTTTAAGTTGGTGTAGTAAATTCAGCCAACTGTACAATGATACACATTGTTTTACAGAAGATATTCTAGCCAGTTTCGTATCCAAATTTCCGTTGAACTGATTTTTACATAGTTCAGTTTTTCTGAAGACTTGAACCCTCAGCACTATAACTAAGGCAAAAGTTAAAATCTTCAAAAGAACTTTGTAAATTTTGCGCATGTGATGTGTAAGTATTTTACCGTATTCATTATTTTATATTTGAAGAAAAAAATACATAAAAATAAAAATTGTTGAAAATGGAAAAATCACATCATGGTAGTTTAAGATGCGGCAATTTGCATACGAAGGGTAGGCTGTCAAAATAATTGCGCCATTGTTAAGCCACCAAATGTGCGAATGAAATATAATTGCTTCTCTTTTAAATATCGTGCAATCTTAAACATTAAGTTACTTCCTCAGTAATGCCAGTGGCTGTATGGCATTGGTTTGCATAATTTATTGTGTGATTTGAAATGGATGAACTTGATTATCTTGATAAGCTTTGTTCACTTTCCCCTCTTTCGCTTTCTCATCAATCTTCTGTTTCTCCTCTACAGAAATTTTAGTAACATCTGAGCTCGAGTTTTTGCGCCGACATTTCAGTTTCTCGGGTATTATCATGGACAATCTCTTCGAAATGTCGTCCCATATTCGCCTCAGTCTCGTTTTCATCGCCTCGCTCCATGTTCTGGGTTTCTAAGTAACAGAGTAAAAAGATTAGACAAGGGTTAGACAAGATTAGGCTGAATAGATTACTTTTTAAAAGCCTTGGGACAGCTAAGAGTGCATATACTAGTTCGGAAACATTTCCTAGCCATGTTTCCCGAAGGCTGGCAAACTAGAAAACATTGTTTCATAAGAAATATAATTTTCTGAACAAAATTCACTCTGGAGAAATATAAAATATATTTCTGAATTTGGTTGGGACATTTTTGTTTTCTGGGACCGGTGGCGGTACGAAGATAGCCGTTAGTGATTTTCTAACTTTTTTTAGAATTGTCCCTTGATTGATATAATCCAGTCAAGATAGCTTTTTGATAGCTTTTCAAATATTTTTGCCACGGTCGAAAAACCATTATCCTTCGTACCATTGGTTCCAGGAAACCAAGGATTGGTAAACAGGATCGTTTGTCCTGGTCATAACAAGCACGTCAATTTATTATGCGATGACATCATTTGAAAACATGAAGTACCTTACCCTGGGGTCAGTTGGGTCGACTTCCCAGAACGACGCAACACACCATTCAACAACTAGAACTGTCAATCCCACGACTATACCGACGTAAACAACGTATAATACTCCAATCATATCTTGCAGTGTTAACTGACCATTTGAAAGTTGTAGGATTGAGAGATCAGGACTGCAATCTCCTAAACGCCAACATACGTGAGTTAGAAACAAGTCTGGTTCAGTGGCCTGAACTGCGAGGGATTTCGGGGGTTCAAAAGCTTTTAGGGGCGGGGGGGGGCACCGAAAATGCATGAAACCAAACTTGTTAATTCTACTTAAACGTCAACCAAATGAGTAAAGAAAAGAGCGACGCCTATCAAACTGCCTTAAAAACTTATTAATAATTCATGAGGAAAACGCAAAGAAAAATCATAAGTGTGTCGTATCTTTATATGAGATTTCCCTTGATTTACAAAAACTTTAACTTTGATTTTCTCGACGTATACAACGTATTTTTTGAAAATTACTTCGCCAATGAAGTACTAGATCGGACGATCGGTCGTTTTTCAAGCAATTTAAAACATTTGCAGTGCATGTTTTATCAGACCTAAAGATACTCGGCTTCGCCTCGTATCTTTATATCTGATAAAACACTGCTGCTCATGTTTTAAATATAGTACTTCAAGAATGTTTGGATTTTTTTGTATAGAGATATGACAAAGATTGCAAAGACGCATATACGAACCTTTCCGTTTGAACCAGTAATCTTGATAATACAATATGGCCCCTTCTTCTCGCAGTTGAAGAATCTCAAGGCTAAAACGTGTTGTATAGGGAGAGTCCTTTGGAAACGCCAGACCATAGCCTGAAAAGGAAACATTAAAACAGGTAGCTACTTACATTATTTTACTTCAACCAAACTAACTTTATATATACTAGGCAGCTCTAGCAGTTAGTCTAAACTCTTCCCTGGCGGTCCAGTAAGGGTTATCTTACTGACCCAGGAGGAAACCTAAACGGCTTACCTTACTTTATCTAGAGTGAGTAGCTTTATCAGTTCTATTCTGTTCTTCCTAAAGGTTTAGTTTGTCCTTTGTTTCTACAAGTTGAAACGTAAGCTAATCTAACTTTATTTATGCTATATAGCTCTCAATTGTTCACCTTGGAGGTCCAGTAAAAACCACCTTTTAGGAGCTTCCCTTGGGTGTCAACGTTGTTTTTGAATAGCTGGAGGGTTAGTGTCGTACCTTACTATGTGACTACTCATTCTCTAGCTATTCAAAAACAGCACTGACACTCAAGGGAAGCTCAGATTGAATCTCCACTCTTTGAGTGAGCTTTTAAAATACAAGCGATAGACACTACCACTGTCTGAAGAGTATGCCTAATCCATTTAACACGAAAATCTCTTACCAAATTTTGCAAACGTCTGTCCGACTGTGAAGACATTACACGGTTTCTTGTACATTTCTGCGTCCAAGATGATGGAATCAAAAATAAAGGCGACATTATCTTTGCGTACTCGTTCAATCCCCTCAGCCATCGTATTTGACAATGTTCCTCGAGATTTCATGAACTGATACATAGCATTGTAGGAAGGCAGGATGGACTTCTGGAAATATTCGGCTGCAGGGGAGTCCTTTTGTGTCCCGTAGCTTATCTTGGTCTGTGAAGCGAGGGATTCCACGGAGTTTATTGTGAATTTCATACGACTGAATGTTAGATACGCAGCCAGGTTGGCTGTGTATGTTGCTATCATGATCATTGAAGCTGCCCACCAGAATGCTGTTACTGTACGACCACTTACTGATCTGAAAGAAGAAGAAGAAGTATAATACGAGCTTACATGTATTTCTGCTTGACTGTTGAGGATTTCATTTCTCTGGCTTTACAAGAATGGATTTTTGTAAAATGAATCCCATGCTCATATTTCTTCCTGCACGTTTAACAAACTACGCGTTTTCTGTGTTCTCCAAAACTTATCGTGACTTCCACAGCCTTTTACACCATCACCTATAATCTGTTACTTTTGTCTAGTATCTTATAGTCTATTTCTCTATATTAAATAGTCCTTTTCCATGATATATAGATTGTTTCGGACATACAAACACAAATTACCTTGATGGGAACGTTCCCATTCTTGAATAATCTTAAGGACATGAATGAGCAAGTGTTTGTATTGGATATACAAACACCTTGATGGCTACCACTTTCTTTAGGGCCATTTATACGAGACAAAATAAGACGCGACTTACATAAGACGCGACTTAAATAAGCGGAGTTATCGCATAAATGGTTCTCTAGGGCTTTATTCTTATTTACTTGCTATAGCTATAATGTTGTTTCGGTTGGGTTTTTTTTTAATATGCAAGGCTAATAATTTTAAGTTGTTTCAAGTTTCTGGCATGTGTAGTTAAACTTTTTGTCCAAAATTTCTTATTTAAGACGCGACTTAGATAAGAACAGCTAAAAGGCCTGTTCTTATGTAAGACGCGTCTTATCCAAGACGCGTCTTACATAAGAATTTTGTACCTTTTATACGACAAACTCGCGTCTTATTTAAGTCGCGTCTTTGGAATTAAGTCGCGTCTTTAGAAGCCGAGACTTCTACCTACCTTGGTAAAACATCACCCCCTTGCTGTAACAAAGCTCCGATGGAAAACCATATTGAATTTGTCACATTCATGTATGTCAATCCCTCAAGTTCCTCTTCAATCTCTTCTCTTTCGCATCCTTCATCCAGCTCAGCCTGAAGCACTGAACCATAGTGTCCATTAGGACTTACCTTAAAAAAACACAGAATGATAGTGATGATAAAACCAACCATACTCCACTTACATGAG